CAGACAGTGTAAACCAAAGTCGGTTAATGACGCAGCTGACAACAATCGAAATGAAGCCAGGCGAGAAAGGCATGGAGTATATCAGTCGCTGCCGCGAGCTGCGCGACAGGCTCCTTCGATGTGGAGGTTCAATTTCAGAAGACGCCTTCGTCACGGTCGTCATCGGCGGTCTCGGCCCTCACTGGCGCTCCACTCGCGCCATATTACGAGCACACGGAAGAATCTCCGAAGCGGCACTCTGCGCCGAAATCCACGCCGAGCAGCAGGATATGGACCTGCAAGAAGAACGACATAAGAAAAAGGCATCAGTACCAGAATTCGCCTTTCACACCCAGCGACGCTACAACAATAGCAACACTCGACAGCAACAACAACCGAAGCCAGTACCTCCTTTTTGCCATATCTGCAAGACTTCATGACATCCTCGCACTCACTGCCCGTATCGTCATCAATCGACAGCACCACAGCGACAACTCCGACCTTCGAGCGGCCAAGTCACCTCGACGCAAGCAACCCCAACAACTTCAGTCCAAGCTTCAACGACTCCAACAGGACAACCTGCGCAAAAACCAAGGAATATCGTCAACTGCATGGTAAAGATAACCGACTCCTGCACAACCGAGTCACCACCGTACTACTCACCCGAAGAACAACTTGACAACAGCACGCCTCACCGCGAGTCTCTTCAACCGAATCCGACGTACGCCGCCATTGCTCAAAGTGAACCATCCGGGAAAGATACTTGGTTCTTGGACAGTTGCTGCGGACAACACATGTGCTCTTCGGGACGCTTCGTCCAACGCGAATATCGACTTCAACGAGAGGTCGTCATCACAGTTGCCAACAATCAGAACCTGCACACACGACGACAAGGAGTGGTACAGCTTCAGTCCAGGGAGACTAATGTTATACTACACATGTCAAAGGTACTAATAGCAGAAGGACTCGGCTACAACTTACTGAGCGTCAGCCAGTTGATGGCGAAGAGCATCCACCTGGAAGCCGACAGCACCACCCAGGAATTTAAATTATATCACGGGAAAGGCGGCCATTACATCGGGAAGGCAGTTCTGAAGAACAACGTCTTCGTCCTGGATTTCGTCCCGGACCTGGGCACCGCAGACAGCGACGCTATTGTTAACTTCACGGACTGGACGCACCCTCCAGATCATGATCCAGACTTCAGCCCGGAAGGCTTCTGGTACTCCCATACTATCCCTGAAGCAGAATGAACACGCGCATTAGCAACAATACAACATCGACAGCAGCGGAGACATCGTTGGCAGCAGCAGAGACATCATCGGCAGCAGCAGAAACAACAACGACAGCAGCAGAGACATCAGCGGCAGCAGCAGAGACAACATCGGCAGCAGCAGCAGGAACAACGACACCAGTCCTCGTCGACAAATAACCACCAACACCCGCACAGCAGTTGAAACCAACTCCACGAGAAGCCCACAGAAGCGCAAACTTCGTCACCAGCTTCTACTCCAACTCCGACACGTATCGACGATCACCCGGACATCGCGCCTCCGAAGAAACCTGGCACGCACGATTGGGACATCCAAGCAACACAGTCTTAAACAACACGATAAGAGCAGGAGTTCTCGACAAAGACTCCCTACTACTACCCGACGGCAGAGAACTTCAAAAGGCACGAGGGACTTGTCTTACCTGCCCCGAAGCTGACTTACCACATCGACCGTTCGCTCCTCATCACAACCCGAGCGCACCGGCGTACGCACCACTCGAGAAGGTGTACGGCGACATCCTCTACAATCGGGAACCAGGACAAGTCACCTACAACTATACGATTACCTTCATCGACGCCGCCACTCGATATGTCTGGCATCTAAACCTACCAAGCCGCGACATGGCACTCGCAGCGTTCGCCGCCTGGCTACCAGTAGCAGAACGAGAGTCGGGAGCACAGCTGAAAAGCTTCCAGTCAGACGGAGGAGAATACACCTCTCAGCGCTTCAAGCAGTACCTGGCGGAAAGAGGAATCAAGCAACCCCTCTCCCTTCCCTACGCCCATCAGCAGCAAGGTGTCGCAGAACGAATGAACAGGACTCTACAGAACAGCATGCGCAAACTGTTACGCGGCATGCGGCTACCCAACCACCAGTGGCCTGCAGCAATGGACCACGGTGTCATGCTGCACAACTTGATGTCGTCGTCCTCACTCCCGAACAACGCATCACCGCATCTGCTGTGGACAGGGAAGCAGGGCAGCACAAAAATGTTACGAGTTTTTGGGTGCATGGTACAGTACCGACCCCCTGAGGCACGAGCGGGAAGATTTTCACAACGCGCACAGTGGGGACTACACCTCGGCATCGAAAAGAACAACAACGCGTGGAAAATCTTTGACGTCCACTCAAAAGAAACAGTAGCAGCACGTGATGTGATCTTCTACGAACGCCTCACCCTTCAGACGTACCTCGCCAACTTGCACGAGAATCAGGACCCCACAGGTGGCTTTTGTGGTGACCGAACATTCGCCTCAGCAGCAGACGAAGCAGACTGGGACGAGCAGAACGTCGACAACGCATCTGAAGAAGCCGGACCTCTCCCGTTCTGCTCCGTCAACGTCCCCATGGACGAAGAAAATCCTCGCGAAAGTGCTAACGCCGAAGTCTTCTATCACTTCGCCGACAATGGTTACGTAACATCTGCAACAGCCAACACCAACGAAGCAGAAAGAGTAGGACCGAATTTCATACCCGACCCAGAAGCGGGAGATGAAGCAGCTTATCCCGAGGACACAACACTCCCCCGCTACTCACAGACCGGACTGCAGATTCTCGGCCTCGTCACCGCAGTCCATGGCTCCTCTCTTCCTAAAGAGCCTGCGACAGTTCAACAGGCTCTGGGGGGGGAACACAAGGAGAAATGGCGTGAAGCCATGGACAGAGAGTTAAAAGCATTGGAGGAACGCAACACCTGGAAAGTCGTTCCAGCAAGCATAGCAAGAAACAAGACCATTCTTACCGGGAAGTGGGTCTTCCGCATCAAAACGAAAGCAGATGGCACAATCGAGAAGTTCAAGGCACGATGGGTCGTGCGAGGATTTGATCAGGAGCAAGGCCGGGACTTCACCGAGACATTCGCCCCGGTTAGCCGACACACCTCTCTCTGAATCCTCCTTGCGATCGCCGCCATGAAGAAGAAGAAACTGCGACAAATCGATGTCGCTAACGCTTTCCTCTACGCACCCGTCGACGCCGAAATCTTCGTCGAGCTCCCTCACGGTACTCACGGGGAACCCAATCAGGTCTGTCAACTACTAAAATCGCTTTACGGTATCAAACAGGCCCCACGACTGTGGCAACAGCACCTACACACCCGCCTCATCCGCATCGGATTCCGTCAACTACCTCACGATCAAGGCATGTATCGACTCACCAAAGGCGCCAACTACATCCTGCTCATTGTCTACGTCGACGATCTCCTCTACATCGGCTCTACCGACGACATCGCTACCTGGTTCGAAGGGGAGCTGAAAAAGGACCTCACACTCACGGTCTCCACTACCGTCACTCAGTATCTCGGGCTCAACATTCGCGAAGAAGAAAATGCGATCTATCTCAGCGCCGAGAAGTACGCCGACACCATCGCCAAACGGTTCGCACTCACACCTGCTACTATCCACACGCCATACCGCTACACGGCAGGAAACGGCAAAGGAAGCTCTGTCCTACTTAAGACCGCCGGAATACGCGACTACCAGCGAAAACTGGGCTGTCTGCTCTTCGCAGCCGTCACCTGCCGCCCAGACCTGTCCTACTCCGCTAGCCAACTCGCTACCTATCTCAAGAGGCCCGAAGCAGAACACCTAGCAGAACTCGACCGTGCTCTTCACTACTTCGTGAGCACCGCAACGATCGGCCTGACGTACTACAAAGACACAACTACGCCGACGAAACTAATCGGCTATGTCGATGCCGATCACGCCGGCGACTCAGATAACAGGCGCTCTCGCACTGGCTACATCTATCGCCTAGAACCTATCGGACCTATTTCCTGGCAATCGAGCAAGCAGGAACTAATTGCGCTCTCCTCAGCTGAAGCAGAATATATCGCCCTTTGCTCAGCCACCAAGGAAGGACTCTACCTTCGCGAGCTGCTGAAAGAAGCAAAGTTAGCCGAGTTACCCAACTTCACCTTGTTCTGCGACAACCAATCCGCAATTCGCATCGCCAACAAGAGCGGATTCGCGAACAGAACGAAGCATATCGCTCTGCGATACTTCTTCGTGAAAGACGAAATCGAGAAAGGGAAACTCGATCTATCCTACTGTCCCACGTCCGAGATGGCAGCCGACTACTTGACCAAGAAACTTGGAAAACAGAAGTTCGAGTACTGCATGCTGCTGACTGGACAAAGCCACGTCACCATCAGCGACACTCCAGAAGCGAAGGGGAGTGTTGGGATCAAATAAGTTAAGCGCCTCTGTCGTGTCAGTACTCAAGACACAAAACGAAGCAGCTCAAGTCGAAGCAGCGCGAGTCAACCAACGAGGTTACGGGAAAGTCAAAGGGCAGCGACCTTTGACCTGACGCAGCGCGACAGCAAGGACAAACAACTGACTCGACATTGAGCAGTTGCCCGAGTCGCACTGTATCGAACCGCAACAGTAAAATTAGTTATAATGTCTCTTCATATTCTCTGTACTCATCTATTTATATTCTTGTATCTCTTTGCTTTTATTAACTTACTTTGCCCTCACATACTAGCGCAAGGTGGTTCAAGAGCTTTATTCAACGCTTCCGCTATTACAACATCTACTCAGACTTTAACTCTACAAAGATCCTAGGGCGTTTCAGCCCAACATCATAATCATAATCAACATTAGGTTTTGAAACAGAGAAAAATAACAACAAACCACACCTTTTGGTCATGGCTGATTGCATTCTTACCAGCGCAATACACCATGCTAGTGTTTGGATCATCCTTCCCGTAGATGGATAACAGAAACAAGGTCATGGAGTATTTGACTAGTACCCTGCAGTCACCCCTCCATCCACAACTATGGTCTGCCCTGTGACATAGCTCCCAGCATCTGAGGCCAGGAAAAGGACCGCATTTGCCAGTTCTTCTGGCTGACCCAGCCTACCCATTGGGATCTGCTGCTCCATGCGCTTCCTAGCCTCTTCCACTGTAACGCCCCACGCTTCTGCCCGTTTGGTGGCAAGATTGGCGATCCGTGCCGTGTCGAAGCTGCCTGGTGCCACGTTGTTGACTGTGATGCCGTGGCAGGCTAGGTCCTGCAGTTGAGGCAGTGGGAAGAACATGGCCGGAGAGTGGGGCAGGGAGTGATGTTGGGGCAGGAGTGAAGTTGGGGCATGGACTTGGAGAGGTGAAAGTGAAAACATGGAGGGGGCAACGGGGAAAGCCTGGTGCAGGCGAAGGGGAGAGGGAGAACGAGGGGAGAGAAAGGAAGGTAGAGAGCAAGGTTCTTACAAGAGAGAGGGTCTTGAGCATGCCAACGACAGCAGGGCGCATGGCATTGGAGAGCAGCAGGCCTAGGATGGGCTGCTTGACCGACGTGGATGTGATGACTACGACGCGGCCCCACGAGGCTGTCTGCACTTGACAGTGACGTCAGTCATGATATTGGTGGAACGGAAACGAGTGTGAAGGGCTGAATACCAGTGAATAGATCAAAATTGATTGATTGATGAGGATAAAGGATTCAAAAGCTGCTGAGAATGGAGATTGGAGTCATGCACACACACACGCATGCAAGACTAGAATGATGTCAAGTCCTCGTTGCTCTGCTATCCATGTACCTTCATGTGAGGCACTGCATGTTGAATGAGACGCGTGGTGGACATGAGCGTCCCCTGAAACGCCTCCTGCCATTGTGCCTCTGTGACACTATCGAATGTGCCAGGAGGAGGCCCTCCACTGTTCGCCACAAGCACATTGAGCCCACCATATGCCTGCAGATGAACAATGCCGGAGGACGGGGAGGAGTCAGAAAAAGGCACAATGGGAGTGGGATTAGGACAGCAATGCAAGAGGCCCAAGAGAGGTAGCTACAGGACATGTGTGAGAAGCTGTGTGAGATGTGCCAAACAGCATAACTTCTTGTTGCCTCAAATCCATCCAATGACCATAAATGTGTACCTTCACTGTAGCATCCACAACGGCTTGAAGCTCGTCCCCCTTGAGGACGTCCGCCACGAGTGGCAGCACCTGTGCGCCCGCCACCTCTCCGCGGATCTTCTCCGCGGCCGCCTCAATGCGCTCGGGGGAGCGCGAAAATATCGCTACACGCGCTCCCGCCCTGACTGGGAGAGAGAAGTAAAGATAAGGTTAGTGACAGCAGGTAAGAACGCGAAGCATAGGCTAATGACGGAAGACGGACAAAACTGGAGAGGAGGAAGTACGACAGGGAAGAGCGTAGGAAGGTGGAACGGATGATCGAAAATATGCTAACCTGGCGAACGCGAGAGCGCAGTGGTAACCGAGTCCCGCACTCGCTGCTGCGACTAGTGCTACCCGACCCTGGAGTCCTAGTGCAAGCGCCTCCATATGGGCTGAATGCCAGAAATCTGTCTACGAAGCACTGGCGACTACGCAACGTATTTTTGCTTGTTCAAGGTCCAAGAAGAGAAATACAATGTTGCTGCGTGAAGGATGACAGAGAGGAGACAAAATGGTTCCATCATGCTTCGAAGTACAAGTGCAAGACAGAAATTCGCCTTTTCACAGGCAGTGACGCAGTGAGGAAGGATTCACAAAACACTCCATCGAAATGATTACGCCAGCAATGGAAAGGTTGGGTTGAAATTTCACGGTTTTGCTATTCATCAGGCCTTGTAACGCGTACGAACAGATGACTCTGTATGATATAGAGATTTTGGCCAAAACCGCAACACTTTTGCATGCTCGCTGCTCTGTCAGGGAGGGAAAACGCTCTGACTGACTGACAATCCTGGGAGTCCTAAAATCGGCTTAGAAGTTGCCTCAATAGTCTAGTCCTCTGTTGGTCTTCTGTTGCACAAATCTCTGGCCGACACGACATGACTTCTTGCGTTCTCTGTTGCAGATTCTCAGCGTTTAATAATCTCGGTTTCACGCCAAGTCAAAGTAGTAGCCGTGTTCTTCGACCATCTTCACACAAGCTGCGTCCTGTAGTTTCCGTCTGCGACCAGATTCCGGTTACCTTCCGTGTGTCCCAATCTCGCCAGCTCTTTGCTCGGTTTCCGGTTACCATGGCGTCTCAAAATTTCGCTGACTCATCCGCCATATTTGAAGCTGCGGCTCCAGCTAAGGTGCACAAGAGCGCTGTTTGCGTGATTCCTCCGCAAGAGACCTGGGGTTCCATCCAAGCTATTCGTATTGTACACGATAAAGTGAGTCGTACTTAGAGAATGAGGTGCATAATACTCTCATCGTATCGCATGCACATGTTGTTGCCAAGTGTCTCCGTCGTTCCGATTAATCAACCAGACAAGCCTTTGAATCCGTTCCACCCGCTTCTGTGGTTTTCTTATCTCGGCGAGCGTAGCACTACAAGCGCTGGATGCCTCACATGAACCTGCTGTACCCATTTTGGGAAGACAATGGGGACAACTTCCAAAGAGCAGCAGAGATCATGGTAAGTCGAAATGTGTTAACTGTTTTTCGAAATGCTCTATCTTTCCTTTTCTGAAAGACCGCCTGTCGCATCTTTGTCGTGCAGCGAACAGCGCTGGCAGGTACAGAGCCATTTGAGGTCCACCTCGCCTCTTTTAACGTCTTCCACCACGGCAAGAGCTGCACTGTGTGGCTGCAGCCAACTCCCTCACCGCCTCTCATCGCCCTTCAGCGCACACTGGAAGCTGCCTTCCCTGAGTGCAATGACCTCAGCCAAATTGTGGCTGACCGCTTCTGCCCTCACCTCTCCATTGGCCAGGTGAGGAGATTAGGAAGTCTTACAGGCATCATCAGCTCGCGTCCGAGTCAATTTATGATGACGATCATGAAGGTTCTTTCTTGAAACCTGAATTACTGGCAGTGGCCCACAAGGAAGGAGGCAGAAGCAGCCATCACTTCATTCCAGGAAAAGTGGACGCCTATCACCTTTCAACTAACTTGTGTGTCGCTTATCAGTAGGCAAGGTATGCCTTCTCTCATATTTGGATTACTGCTTTCAAGTTAATTCAACCATGGTTTGCTGCATCTTTTTCAAACCAAGACGACTTGTTTGTGTTTCAACCTCCTGCTTTGCTGTTCTTCTCATCCGGGTAATGTATACGGCGTCTCACATTTGGCTCCTGCCAATGTCACGCGGTGGTGCTGCAGGTTACCATGATCCTTTCCATGTGCAGATGCAAGTGCCCCTAGGTGCTGTGAAGAAGGTTTCTGAAGTACGTGCTAGCTGAATTAGGACCGACCACACCACCAGTTTATCAATGCATTGAAGAAGACCCAGTGCAACAACAGACAACAGTGATCACAGGTAAGATCTGGGACTCTTGAAAATGATAGGGGAATAATTTCACCTCCAATTTTTACGTGGTTCTATGGTCTAGTGGTTATGACGTCAGACTCTGAATCTGAAAGGCCGAGTTCAACTCTCGGTAGGACCTTCTCTCGAGAAACCTTTTTATTCTCCCCTTTTTTTTTCAAACATGGACATGGATCTCTGTAACTGAGATGACCCCCCTCCCACATATCCTTGCGTAGCGGAGCCTGTTCCCATCCGCTCCCTCAGATCCTCAGCCCTCCTAAATCTTGTTGATTTTGCTCGCCTCATGCCTCCATGCTTGCAGTTTATTGACTCAACCAAGCCGTGTTTCGACAAGTCTACTACTCCCTGCAACACATAATTATTCTGCTGGAGCATAGCGCCATGCAACAGTTCACTCAGCGAGTTCCTTGTCTCCAAGCAAGCTTGCCTCTTCGCCCTGCATGTCCACAACAGCAGCAGCCATGGGCACGGCTTGACCTTTCGTGGCGAGTTGGACCGCATCAGAAGTCCAGGGATGAACCACAGCACTTGCAGCAGCAGAGGTGACAAAAACACTGCTCGGGTTGCAGCCATCTGTACAAGAATCTGTGCCAAGAATGAAGTCAATGGAGCTGCTGGGAGCGCTCAGCGCAGCAAGCGCATAGAACCCTACAGCGAAGACCAGTACAAGGCAGACAAGCATTGCCAAGTGCACGAAAGCAAATGCCAGACCCATGTGCTCCCATTTGTGCTCCTCGCAGACCAGCTTGTAATCCAGCTCCGTGGGACTGGTGTAGCAGTGCGAGGGCTGCTGAAGCTATACAGCGATGCACCTGTCACCAACAACCACGCGCCGTCCAGTATGATTCTCAAATTCGAAAGCGTATCCAGGAGGAAGCTTCTGGGAAAGGCGCCAGTGAGGAGCAATGTGAGGGCGGTGGCTGCGAGGAGGAGGATGAGGAAGATGTGGTAGCGGGCCTCGATGGGGCCGTTGTGCCCCGTGGAGTGGAAGAAGAACATGACCGCCACACATGTGTACGGCACTGATGCAATCACATGCAGCGTGCCCTTGGGGAATGGCAGGTACCTGGAAGGAGGGTGTTACATGGCGGGCAGAACTGGGAAAAAAAAAAGGTTGAGAGCTGTGCGTCATACAGCTGGAGGGTTGAATTCGTGCCACTAGAGTCGAGGCTTTGTTGCTCGCTTTAGTTGGTTAACGAACAGAGATATCAAAAAAGAAAATGCTTGGTGACTCGCCTGGTAGTTGACGGATTGAATCGGAATAGGTGGAAAAAACGGGAAGTCAAGGTCTTACCTGGTGGTGTCATGAAGGAGGAACACGCTATAGGTCACCACGAACGCGACGTTGACCGACAGATGCTGCGAGAGATGTGGAGGGACGAGGGAACTTGCACAACTTAGATGAACCGAGGAAAAAGCAGCATCTAAAAGCGACTCGAGACTAGCTGATTTAGCTAAGCGAATGACATGAAAAGGTGGATGTAGTAATGTCTCACACTCCCCCACCAATCATAGCCGCACGCACCGGGTAGCTGTTGAGCAGGACACAATACGACTGTTTGAAGAGGTTATTTTGAGTCGACTCAACCCCACTCTCTCTCTCCTCTCCGCCTCACCACAGCCATACGCACCTCGTAGCTGTTCAGCATCGCATGTGACTTCATGAAGAGGTTAATCACCTCGGTAATCATGTACGCTGACCCGCCTCCCACTACCGCGTACAGCTGCATTCACGCCCAGTGCCCCGGCAACGGCATGGGATGCCACACGCGCGCGGCGAAGGACTGCGGAGAGGCGAGAAAGTTCATAATGGAGCAGCGGAAGTTCCAGAGGCCCACGAAAAGGTCCCCATGGTTTGGCGAAGGGGATCAAATGCAGCGCTTTCCTAAGGACGAGTTAGTTACAAACAAGCAGCAGCAAGCCAATTGGTGGTAGTGCGGAGAGCCGGTCCAGGGTAGCACTTCTTCAGGAACTATAGTAACCTTTTCATGAGTACTACACTACGACACGACTCAACTTCGCCTAAACGCTCACTCAAAGTTCGACTTGGTGAGTCGCTTATCTGCCAGTGATCCTCCGTCGCTGGCAAAGAATTGGAAGAATTTCTGAGATGATCGCACTGTCGCAGTTCTAGAACTGCTGAGCACCAAGCAAAAAGCATACTACGAAGCTGATGATATGTGCTAAGCGCAAGCGGAGTAGCCCATAATCTGTAGTACCCCACATGCCGCATTTTCAGGAAACTTTCCCGTTGAACGGGAACCCCGCCGACGAGACAGTAGTAGCCCTCTGCCGACCAATGAAAGCCATCCAGCACCCCCAAGCCGTACAGCGATGCAACAGGGAACGGGCTTCGGGTACCCCCTGTGAAAGCCACACTAGCAGGCGACTGAGGTGGGCTGTGAAAGCCATATACGCCAGGAAGCACCCCCCACCCGCTTCCCTGAAATGACGGATCCAGAAAGTTACGAATTTACGCAGGGTGGCAAAGTCCACCGCTGTCGCAATTGGCTCGGGCACGTCAGCGAAACGTGCTTTGGTGAGCTTCAGGAGAGGCATGGTATGTCGGAGCGGGCACACGCTGGGATGGCAATTAGGGTGCGTCAGATCCGCTACAATGTGATTTGGCTGGAATTTTGTCGACAATTTGGTCGACTGTATCTTTCGCCAAAGTCGACAACATGGTCGACATAAAAAGCGACCAATATCCGGCCAAATTTACAGGGCCGAAAAATTTGACACATTTGGTGGCCGATTTGCAGGCCGCTTTGCAAATGTGTCAGATTTTCAGTTCGCTAGAGTGGCCGGATTGTGCGACGGAGTCGCAGATGCAGTACTTGTGTGACACGTTGCGTCGCACGAGCTGGCGACGTCGTATAGTGACTGTAGCGATCTCAGGTCGACAAATTGGTCGACTTTCGAGTCGACTGCACGTCGGAACTTTGTCGAATGCTGAACCGGCCATCATTTTTTTTTTTTTTTACAAATGGCCGGATTTAGCGAATTCGACGACATTTTGTGCGAGTATCGCAAACTTGTTACTTTCGCTAATTCCGGCCGGCCGGATTTTTCCTACAACGGATCTGACGCACCCTTAGTGGCGGGGAAAAAAATACATCAGTGAACCTCGTCACCGACAGTTTCACGCATTCCATGAACAGATTCCATATTACGTAAGGTGTAGCATACATAGTCGAAGTATAAGGCTCTTAGAGATGGCAGCAGACAATTTCGGAACTTTCAGGAAATATTTCTATGTAAATTCATCAACCATATATCTTAAAAGCACCTCAATTTCAATTAGACGCTAAAATTGTTAAAAACAAATGCTAATAATATCGTCTTTTCATACATGATATGTTACAAAGTCACTACCTGTGGAAAATCTTGCAAAGTGGTGGAAAGCGGTTAGATTACTAGAGAAGATTCGTCAGCAGTTTGCAGAAGGCTGCATGGACTCGCACACTCCTGGGGAGCCGAGTGGGAGAGAGACAAGCAGCAGCAGTTGCGGCTGTTGCGGCAGTTGCGGCAGTTGCGACGGGCGTCCGTCCGCCTTCGCGTTCCCCCTTTCCCCATTTGTTACCACATCTTGTTTGACTACTATCTTGTTGAGGGGTACTGTAGGCGACCGGTCCCTCTGGCTGGCTTCATAACTCCGGACCGCACCGCAGTGGTTTGCTGTAACCATGACTGTTGCTATGCATTGGCGGTTTCGTCTGCGATCTCATCTCACACTCCGCGTTGCCCCGTAAATCCCGTCCAGGGTTGTTAGGCTCAGCCGAAACCGCAGAAGCGGGTTCAAGGACGAGATGGACGACGCTCCGGTCGTTAGGCTCAGCCGAAGCAGCAGATGCAAGGCGGTGCGACCGAGCATCCACGGGGCATCGCTGGAGCTGGCGGTTTACGAGAAGCTCGGACGCGAACCCTAATTTTCCCCGCGCGATACCCGAGTCACTCTCTCGCAGGGCCCCGTTGACTTCAATTGCCAGTGGCGCAGGCGAGAGGCTCCCCTCGGAGTCGGAACCTTGTTCTCAATAGCGACGGTTGGATGGCTGTTTTAATGGTTAGACGGCCGCACCAACTGTTAGGCGGCTGAATCAGGCAACACCAGGCCCCCTCTATCCGAGCCGCCCCGCTGCTCCTGCGATCGGGAAGGCGTTTCGCGCCTCGTCCCTGCGATGGATATTCCAACGTATATGTACCGCGACTGGCAGCAGTTCGTATTCATGCTCTACCCCATCTAGCGTACAACTCACCCAGCCTGGTCCCAGGCATCAGCTTATCCGAGTGAATTCCCTCTCTCCATCCATCTCTCTCGCGCTCAAGCCGGTCAGGCAGAATGACGAACTCTCGCCTGCCTCTGCTGCTTCCGCTGCTCCTCGTCCTCGCCGTCTCCCTCGCGCCGTTGCTCTCTCCCCACGGATCCGCCCTCGCCCATTCGATTTCCGGGATTAAAGTCGGCGACGGCGATATCGACAGCTATCTTAGGGGGAGTGCCAGGAACGAGGGTGACTTTGCAGCGGTGGCGGTTCCGGGAGCGGAGGAGCATGAAGGCAGGAAGCTCCAGAAGCAAGTCGGTAAGTGCTAGCTTTGAGATGTCTCAAAACCACACTTTATCACGTGGCGGTGCAGGGAGCAGAGGAGCAGTATGAAGGCAGGAAGCTCCAGCAGCAAATCGGTAAGTTGCCCGCTGCTGTGCGCGCTTGGCGAGATATGGCGAGTTGTGACTCGATTGTTAGTTACCATTTTGTTCTGGTGACCCACTCACGCCAGTGAGTTATTGTCACGTGCTCCCTGGGATGTGTGCCTTCGCTTCTTGAGCTTCCTTTCATGAGCTTTCTTGCTCGGTTCTCATCCCTCGTACCTTGCCCTCGTTCCTCGTTCATTGTTCGTCGTTTCTTTCCCTCAATTCTTAACTCTACCTTGGTGGTGCCTTGTCATGAACACCTTCTCCCAACCCCGCCCGCCCTGCCTGCACCACAGCATGTGGAAAGGACTCCATTCGCTTTACCAACCGCTTAGTTTCGGATAACATGAATGGCTCCGCTACGTATCAGCTTTTCATAAAGAACACATGCCCTGAGGACGTTATCGGCAGGTAATGCTCGGTTCATGAGTTCAGCAACAATGCATTTTTCCGTCCTGATTTATGTCTGTAATTCTAAATCTCTTGCATTCACGTGTGTGCATGGACTGGATTGCAGGTTTGTGTTTTGGAATTGCGACATAGATTCGATTTTTTCATCCGGAAACCTCAACTTCCAGACTGGAAAGCCCTTGTTTAACAGTTGCTGCAAGCCTCGTGGTCGGAATTTCTGCGAGCTGGCGATCAACCCCGGTGTTACGGGCGTGCAGCTGCCAGCTGGCAGGGAGTTCAAAGTGCTGTACTTTAACACGAAACCGGTTTACCCGTGTGTGCAGCAGCTCACGTTCAGGAATGGTATGCGCTATTATCTCAATGTCGATAAGTGGCCGCAGGAATGCTCCACCCTTGGGATGTAACTCGGCGTGTGTGTGTTCCGTCCCGTGTGGTGGGTGGAGTCTTGGACAGGGTAGGCGCTGTTGTTTGTGGTGCTTGGTGCTTATCCAGGAAATGATGGGTATTGCTAGTGGGTGGTTGGTGGCGTACTGAATAAGCTGAAGATGTTATCATTTTGCAGTTGTTAGCCTTGTTTATAATATCACATGCAAAGCTTGAAACACCAGAAGTGTGCGGTGCGGTTAGATTGCTCAGAGATCGGGTACAGGCTGGTTTGTAGCGGTGAAGCCAACAAACTGCTCTAGAAATGCACTCCACTGCATCGTAGTCAGCTTTTTGAATTGAAAAGTTGAACAAAGCGTGCGTGGCACTCTGTTGCGGTAGTTGTGCTTATCTGCAGCGTTTCACGAGATTCCATTTTCGTATTTCCCCTCTACCCATCTCGTAGATTATCTAACGGAGAAATACCGCGCTTTTTGCGGTTTGGCATGAGGTATTTTCCCACTCCTCCTTGCCCAGCCGATCATCTAAACTCTACAGGACATCGTTGCAGTTAGCGGTTTACTATGATTTCAATCGTGGCGGTTTCTTTCTTTTAGCCCGCGAGTTACCCGCCACTCTCTCGCAGCGGTTCGTTGACCTCAACTGCCGCAGGAGAGGTTCTCTAGCTCGACGGTTAGATGGCCGCCCTAACTGTTAGACGGTCCTTCATATCCGAGCCGCCTCGCTCTTCTTGCTATCAGGAAGTCGTTTCGCGCCCCGCGCCTCGGTTCCCGCGATGGGTATCTCGATGTTTATGTACCGCGACTGCCAGCAGTTTGTATTCTTGCTCTGGCCCTTCCAGCTACATTCAGTCACCTAGCTGGTCCCAGGCATCCGCAACTCTAGCTTGAAATCTATTTATGAACCTTTTTCACCGTGAAAAAAAAAACCTTGTTTTTGCTGAACCTTGAGAGTCTCTCAAGCCAGTCAGGCAGAATGGCGAGCTCTCGCCTGCCTCTGCTGCTTCCTCTCCTCCTCGTCCTCGCCTTCTCCGTCGCGCCGTCGCTCTCCACCCACGGATCTGCCCTCGCCCGCTCCATCTCCGCAAGTGACGTCAGCGACGGGGATATCGACCGTTATGGTAGCGGGATTGCCAATAGCGAGGCTGAATCTACCGCAGTGGCGGTTCCGGGAGCGGAGGAGCATGTGCGCAGGTCGCTCCAGCGGCAGCAAGTCAGTAAGTCGCTTGCTGCAGTGCGTGCTTGGCGAGTTGTGACGCATCTTGACTCATTGTGACTCATCGTGATTCAGTGTGACTCATCGTGACTCGTTCTGACTCATTGTGACTCAGTGGTGACTCACTCACACCAGTGCCTTCCTCGCTCTACCTTGGTTGTTCTTTCGCATGAGCTCCTCTTCCCAATTCCACTTTCCCTGCCTGCACCTCAGCATGCAGCAAGGACTCGATTCTGTTTATTCTTATGAACTCCACTGTCCTCCGCCCCACCTGCCCGCTCTCTCTGCACCCCAGCATGTGACCAGAACTCAATCCTTGTTACCAACCGCGTCGTGTCAGACCAGGGCAAAGGCACCACCAAGGTGATCCAGCTAATTATCAAGAACTTGTGCCCCTATGACGTCATCGGCAGGTATTTATTCTATTTGAACAACGGTGTCTTGTATTGTCGCGAGTTGCGTGTCGACTTGTTCTGGCTCTGTCCTTTTAATCATTCTTTCATGCACTCACGAGTGTCCACGCACCTGTAATTGCAGGCTTATATTTTGGAATTGCCACATGGGTACGATTTTTGCAGCCGGCAACACTAACTTCCAGACTGGAAAGCTCTTGTTTAACAATTGCTGCAAAGCTCGTGGTCAAAATTTCTGCGAGCTGGCGATTAACACCACTGATTGGGGCGTGCAGCTACGTGCTGGCAGGGAGTTCAGAGTGCTGTACTCAGGGACAAGAATAGCCCATCCATGTGTGCAGCAGGTCACGTTCAAGAATCAAGATAGGTACTATCTCGATGTCAACCAGTGGCCATTTGAGTGCTACTCTTACGGGGTGTAAGGTAGCGTTCTGCAAGTGCATCTGCTGGATTTTACCGTATGTGGGATGCAATGTCCCCTTGCTAGTTGTGCTAGGCTTTTGGTTCCATGGAGGGACTTCTTGTGCTATGAAGCTAATGATGTGCATGTACTGGTCAGCTACATTACGCAGGCAGGACTGAGCATAAGGGCGTGTCATCTCGGGTGATAAGCTTCAGTACAGTTCGGTTTTAAGAACAATCAGATTGGTTTAGTACAGTGCCTGTTCGGACAAGCCCCTTGTTCTAGGGGTGAAACCCGCACACCACTTGTGGTGTGCTACAAGAATTGAGTATTAGTCCCTGGAAAAGGGCGATTTTGTGCGGTGAGCGTGGATCGAACACGCGACCTTCAGATCTTCAGTCTGACGCTCTCCCAACTGAGCTATCCCCGCACGTGATATTTCGATATAAATCGTTTTTAAACATTATTATGCTTAAAAGCAAGGAAATAGCCTTGTTGGAGGGCTCCTTGGCTGCCATCTGGCATATGCGGGGACTTCCGAAGCAACCTTCACCAAACCTGACCAGGCCCTGGGAATGTCGTGGAACATTGATGACCTCGAGCATTTAGGGGCAAAGAACTGGAGTTGCGTGAAATCACGGATTCTTGTCTTCAAGTTCAAGCTTCCAGTTTCAAACTTCGCCTAGCATCAGGCTCTCACACCCTTCCAGTGCCAGACTTACACAGCCTTACAATTTCAGGCATCTGTTTCAATTATCTGGTTGCAAATCTGTTCCCCTGCCTTGCTTTTTAGAACAAAGCAGTCCTTAACTTGTTAGGTGCCTGAAATCGTTGGTGCCATGGCCTCGCTCGTTGCCTCGGGGCCCTCGCGGGCTATCACCGCCGGCTTTAGTGCGTCGTCTAATTTAATCGACAGCTCGAAACGTAACTGCTGGAATGCCGTTCGTTCAAATGTTAATTTTCTATCGAGCAGCCAAGGCAGTACGGTACCATACCGGGTTGTGCGTGTAACGAGGGCCTCGAGTTCATCCGAGCCGTCCGTTGCCTCCTCATCAGGAGCTTCTGCTGCATCCTCAACGGCCGGACTGATTCCAATCACGTTGAAGCCAGCACTGGACAAGGTTGGTTCTTTTCAAATACTCTCGCTCGACTTCTCTCGCTCGACGTCATGTCACACTCGAACCACGACACGACTCAAGAAGCACTTTCCCATTCCATTTTGACCTTTTCCCTGATTCCACCCTCCTCCACGGTTCCTGTGGACTTACAGCGCGACTCGGAGGCATTGAAGGTGGCTCTAGAGTGTTTGAAGGAAGCCGGCTCCGTCACGGCCTGGGGCAGCTACCCTAACGTCGCGAGACGAACGGTGAGTGGAAGTGAGCATTGGGGGAACAACTGAATCGACGGTGGGTTTCAAACGAAAAGGCATGCACTTCAGCGTGAATCACATGGAGAAATATTCAATGCGTGCTGCGCCATGCTCTCATTCTTTGCTCTGAGTTGACTGTCCTTCTGGTTGCGAAGAGGACGAGCTCGCCAGCTTGATGAGATGTGGAATTTGTGAATGCGTGCCTTCCGCTGTTGCGTGCAGGCGAGTGTGCGAGAGCTGACGCAAGTGGGCATCAAGAACGCGGAGAAGCTCGCCGTACCGTCTGTCCGCAACGATGTACGTGTTAATGAAAGTGTTGCTGCGTGTAACGATGTACGTGAGGCTGCGCGCACACCTCTTCTTCCACTCCTTCCCAGCCGACGTTTTTCCATTCCCCGCTACTCCTTCTCCTCTGCTCGTCCTTGCCTCCCCCATTCTGCCTTCCCCCTTTCCTTCCTCCTCTCCCCTGTCGCCCGTAACCCCGTCCTCCCACTTCCTTCGTCCCGATTCAGTCGTCCTAATCCATCTTCTCAATCAACACTTCTCAATCCGCACATCTCAATCAGCACTTGTCAAACCCCTCGTCCCAACGCCCTCCCCTTAATGGCCTCCATCCATTCCCTACCTTGCCCCCACCAGGCGCTCTTCCTCGCCACGGTGGTCGGCACCACCTCCATCCTCGCCCTCGCTGGCACCCAACTACCAGGGGTGAGCAGGGGTGGGCAGGGGTGGGCAGGGGTGGTCAGGGCTGATCAGTGGTGATAAGGGGCTAAAACGGCTGATCAAGAATGAGAGGGGTAAAAGTTTTCTGCAGTTAGCCGACGCCCGGCAACCTTGCGTTCCCTCGATTACCTACACTGGGAGTCACTTTTGAGAATTCTCATAAGTCACCCTTGCGTTCCCTCGATCATCTACACTAGGCCACGTGCCGCCCCCACCACCCCCCCCGCCATCTGTCCCATTACGACCCACACCATCTGTCTGCATTCCCCCTCCCACGTGCTCTTGCAGGACTGGGGCTTCTTCGTGCCGTATCTGGTGGGCGGCATCTCCATTGTTGTCCTCGCTGTCGGCAGCGTTGCTCCAGGGTATGCCCTGCTCTCTCACGCACTAGCCCTGTACTCACCCACTATTTTTCACAAGCACTCAAGCACACCCGGTGTTTCACACTCTAACCCTGTGCAGACTCACTCACGGACGCAAGCAGTGAAGCAATCCGTGTTGTGAGCTGAGTCAGTTCAGTCGTAGTGACATACACCAATGCAGAGCCCCCGGAAGAGATCACAAAACGTGGATGCGTTCCTGGTGGCGCACATGAAATCGAAGGAAACATGAACAAACAAAGAAATAAAGAAAGAAGAAAGAATAGACGATTACTTAGCATGCTTTCTATCCAGTCTTTCATTAAGAGTGAGCACGCTGTATTGGCATAGCCCATCTGCTTTCATTCTCCTCCTTCTCTCCATCCGCGTTACAGGCTTCTCCAGGGCGGCATAGGAGCCATGGCGCCTGTATTCTCGGACTACAAGGACCGAGTGCTCCGCCACGAGGCAGGCCACTTCCTCTGTCAGTCCCTCTCCCTCCCACTGCCATCATGCCATCTCCTCCTTTCTTTCAATTTCAGCCCAGCGGTCCCTTGCTTACCTTGCCCCCTAGCCCTGCATGCTAGAAAGCATCCACTCCTCTGCTACCCTGACCCTGCCGCCCTCCTATCTCCTATCATCTTCCATATTGTCCCGACTCCCCTCTCCCCCCTTGCCTCCCCTCGTCCTGCTGCAGTGGCGTACCTTCTGGGCCTGCCACCTGTCGCGTACTCATTGGACATTGGCAAGGAGCACACGAATCTGCTGGATGATAAGCTGCAGAAGAAGATCTACAGTGGCAAGCTGGAGAGTGATGACGTGGACAGGTGAGATATTCTCCACGAGGCACTACCGCCAGTCTGATTTGAAGCTGGAACTTGCGGATCATAAGAATATGCTGTAGAAGCAGAGCTACAGAGGGAAGCTTCTGGGCAGGCTCATGGACATGTGGTTGATGTGGTTTGGCCACATGCCATCTCCCCATCCACTTTCTCCACTCCCCATGCATTTGCCATAGCCGGCACGGCAGCAGAGGGGCTGAAATGCGAGAGCACATTATGGGGGGGCTGGTTGACCTTACGTTTTCTCTTCGTCCCCCGCTGGCACACCTCACAACCCCCCTTGCTGCAGACTCGCAGTGGTGGCGATGGCAGGGATGGCAGCGGAGGGGCTGCACTACGAGCAGGTGATGGGGCAGACAGCTGACCTCAACTCGCTGCAGCGCCTCATCAACCGCAGCGGGCTCGGCGCCCTCACCCCCGAGAGGCAGCAGAACCTCACACGCTGGGCGGTGAGTCATGCCTTGGTGATGCATGGTTTCAAATCCATGTTTAGGATTCCTCCTGGCAAAGTAGGCTTGGTGCTGTGCGCTACTTGAGGCAACAAAAGCTTGTTTTCTCGCACTGTAACCCCGATGGAGAGCCCATAGGGGCAGACTTGTGTAGCCCTGATACTTACCTCTGTCTCGAGCACATCTAACTGTGCGTCTTATTTAAAGTTTTTTTTTTTTTTTTTTTTTTTTTTTTTTTTTTTTTTTTTTTTTCCCTGTCTTCTGCCCATCATTCACCAGGTACTCTATGCGGCTTCGCTAATCAAAAACAACTCCAAGTCTTTTGATGCTCTCATGGAAGCCATGGCAAGGGAAGCCCCTGTAGAAGAGTGCATAGCAGCAATTGAGAATGCTGCGGCAAAATAAAAGCGCGGGCAGTGTTGGTGTGCAATGGGATCACTTTCTCTTTGAATGGTACAGGGGAAGCTAGGAAAGCTGCATGTAAATGCATGCTATTCTCGAGTTGTAAAAATCTACATTATACCAAACATTACAGTAGCCGGCAGGTAAGGAAGCATCCAATCCAGTCCAACCCACCCAGCCCATATGTGCATTTGAAACTAACCAATCTAAATTCATAACTAATATTGACATGCACAGCAAGATGCGGAAGAGCATGACAAACTCTAGGGGAGATTTCACGCACGATCCCCCCTAAGAAACTTGCATCGCATCAGCAGCTGGCTCACCAGCAAAACCATTCCAATTATCTGTACAAGAATCACAGTAGCACTGATTATGATGCTGCTGTGCAAATGGCCAAATGGAGCTTGTTTTTCTGCTGCAACACACAGACGCTGCGTTGCCTGCCACCCTCATATCTGGGACCAGATCAGGAGCAAATGTAGCAGGAGACTGAGAGGGTATGAGCGAAGGCCAGGAAGAAGAAATGGACGAAGATGAGAAGGATGGCGATGAAGATGGCGAAGAAGGGGAGAAGGGGGAGAAAGAGGAGGAGAAGGACGACGAGGATGCTAGTGACTGTGACTGCGACGCTGACGCTGACGGCGATGGTGGCGAGAAGGACGAAGCTGTTGACGCCACGTCTACACTCCACCGACCGAATCTCACGAACGGCTGCGTTTCAGCAAGATCGCAAGGAGCGGATGAAAACCGCGGCGGGAAAGGTCTCTTCTGCGGAGAACGAGGGACGTTCACCACCACTGATCCCGCCTCCGTGTGAACGGCGGTCGTGCTCTCCGCGATGGCATCTGCTGGCAGTTTGAACTGCCGGCCAGTCGTCTGGACGGAACCCGTCACCGTGAACTGCTGCTGGTGCTGGTTCTGAAGCAGACGCTGACGGAAAACGTCTCCGTCTGCAGGCGTCGGAGCAGAATGGAACTTGCAGACAATGGTGAGCAGCGCAGACACATGATTGCCTGAAGTACGTATTCTGTCATTCTGCTGCTGGAAGAATCTGTAACAATCACTCTCTGCGTCGCCGTGAAACTCGCCAGATTCCTGGCTTGAGTTCCGATCCAGCAAAACTTGCACGTGCTGCAGAGGAAAACCGCGCTTCTCGACGGAAAAGACGTAGGCGTCGGCAGTGTCCGTCACGATCCACATCGGACAAGACACCCCGGAACCGTCGTTCTCAAGAATTTCCCATTCAATGTTGACGAAAACTGGATCGCTGGAGGAAAAGAACGGTGGTGATTGGTCGAAGCCTGAGTGAAAAGCTGAACCTGAGCCTGAATGAACATCATACGGTTCAGAGCGGTGGGGCTTCCTAAGCTTCATGGTGCGAACACAACCCATATTGGCTAGTTAGGAGATCAGAAGCTGCGAGAATGACAAAATGCGAGTTATGCAGCGACGAATTCAACGACGGAACGCTGAAGAAAGCAGCGCTTGATGCTGCTACGATAGAGTCGGGGTAAATGCTGCTAGGATCATGAAAGGGGAGAAGAAACTGCTACTTGCTCTTGAGTTAACGGAAGAGTATCAAGGCATAGATGCTTGATATTTATGGCTGCCGAGAAAAATCTCTCAGATACGAAATAGGCACTACGGAACAGCTATTAGTAACCACTCGGTGCGCAGCTGGTGCTTCAAAGGAATCAACTAGAAGGCAGTCAAACTGCAAAAAAACATCGAACGAGGAGGACGTGGCATGGCAACTTGGGACAGGTCTGGAAGCCATAGCGGATGCACCCCCGTCACTGCTGGACTGGTGCTTCCTAACCAGACAGCTCGTTTCCAGTCAGAAAACGGGGAGGTGACGGGAGCAGCCATGGCTGTTTGCTTGGTTATTGGCATGACAGCAACGTATCCTTAGCTTCCTGAAGGTTCGATTGTTGGGCGTCGCACATGGCCGTTGACAACTTCGTGCACCAATGAGTGCCATGTAACCAGGATATTGCATTTACAGACGAGGTTCCGCGATGGAATTCCTGGCCAAGTCCTTGATTGATCCTTCGCAAGGACAGCTTCGCGCAGCTCCCAAGGTGGTTGCCTTGTCGGTTCGCCGTCGTCTGGATACATCGCGGAGAATCGCGACCGTTCGGCAGACTGAGATATTTTTCTGGAAAAATATCTGCGCTCGAGAATGGCTCCGACAAGCTGGGTTACTCGAATCTTCCAATTGTCGCATTCAGGGTGGTCGATATTCAGTACAAGCTTCAGTACAAGGTCCAGTTTGTGGCCTCTCACGCACTCGATACAAGTGCTCCAACGCAACACCTGAATAACACGTATGTGTGCTGCAGATATACCTAATATGGTTTATCCGCAAAAAATGTATGATATGGTAGTTTAAAGCCAGGGTCTCACGTACCACAAGTGCTTAGCAATTGATGGTGAAAGTGTGGCTTTGATTGGTTGGCGAGGTATAAGGTTCGAAGTGGGGTGAAGCGAGGGGTGCGAAGTGAACGTAAATCGCTGGGGGTAACCGAACCATCTAGGCTTGGAAACTTGGTTCGGAGCCAGACCTAAAATGCCCCCAACTCATCGAAAGTCTCAAGTACCCATAAGTGTTGTGCAATTGCATTTGGGGCAGTGACGCAAGCTGAGTCCCCAAACCAGCCAGAGACAACTTCGCGAGCACTAACTTGGTTACCTAGCTTCAAGTGCTTTGCAGTCGATGGCTCCTTAGCTTACATGAGACCCTGGCTTTAAGTGTTGTGTCAGGCCTCATAAAAGGCGAGAAAATGGCTGTCAGAAATGGGATTCCAACCCATGCCCTTTCAAACCAGTACCTGAAACTGGCGCCTTAGACCAGCTCGGCCATTCTGACACGAATTTTGAGCGCCATTTGTTTTGTCTACATTATGATCACTACGAATAGTATTTAGTACCCACGATTGTCTCCACGCGAAGGATGCCCGTCCACGACTCTCACAGCGGTGCGGGTACCGCCTCCCGCCGACTCCGCGGGCCTTTGCCAGCGGCTTCCGCATTCCATTTGACTCCCCGTCGCCTGCTGCTCCTTTCCACCGCCTTATTCGGACTTCTCGCACTCCTGCGCTTCTCCCCGCACTCCGCGCTTGACATCCGGCTGCGGTATCGCGCTCCGCAAGAGCAGAACTCCTCCCCTTCTCATATCGCGCAGAATTTAAGAGACAATGCTCGACATACGCCATTGTTGGAGGCGGATACATCCGCGGAAGGGCTGCGCGGATCCGCGGGTTACGCGGTGAATCTCGGCTACGCACGAGGCGATTCGAGGGAAGGCAACAGCCGCAAAGGGTGGCGGAAACTAAGGCGAGAACTGTTATATGTGGAGTGGCGCGCGCGCGTTGATGCGCTTTCCGCGGAGCGGGCGGAGAATGGGCCGTGGTGGGCGCGGGCGGAGTGGAGTTGGGCGGAGAAGGGGGAAGCGGAAGAGAGTGGGGAAGAGTGGAAAATGGAGGAGGAGCAGTGGGTGCGGGAAGAGAGAGAGGGAAAATTACAGGATATGCCGACTGGAGGTAATGAGGGAGGGAGTGAGGGAGGGAATGAGGGAGGGAATGAGGGAGTGAGTGAGAATGAGGGAAGTGATGATGCATTACTGCTCGCGCCAGGAGCTGCAAAGGCTGAGTCAGCAGATCAGAATGATGAGTCAGCAGATAACAGATACGAGTCAGCAGATGACAGGGATGAGTCAGCAGGTGACAGGCATGAGTCAGCAGATAACAGTGTACTAGGGAGTTCAGATACTGATGGGAGAGTGGCTGTGGGAAAGGGGGGGTTGAGAGAAGCGGAGGAGGGAAACGATTACGATGATGACGGGGAGTGGGTCGAGGAGGAGAATGAGGGGGCAGGGGAGGATGATGAGGATGAAGAGCGTGAGGAGGGTGAGGAGAGTGAGGAGGATGAGGAGGATGAGGAGGGTGAGGAAGATGAGGAGGGTGAGGAGGGTGAGGAGGGTGAGGAAGATGAGGAGGGTGAGGAAGATGAGGAGGGTGAGGAAGATGAGGAGGGTGAGGAAGATGAGGAGGGTGAGGAAGAAGAGGAGGGAGATGGGGGAGATGGGGGGCCAGGAGGGGGGAGTCAACCGAGTCAACTGAGTCAACCGAGTCAGCAGGCACCAGCGCCTGTTGCTGCTGCAGGCGAGTCTGTTGAAGCAGCAGCAGGAGGAGCATCGGATGTACCCTTTCCTGACGTGACTGAAGCCCCGCCACCGAGAGCATCAGATGCGCCTTCACGCGAGGTGACTGAAACGGGGGATGCTGCAGATGTGCCCTTTCCCAAGTCCCCTCGCACAGTGCCACGGGGAGGGTTGGATGTGTGGCGCTCACCTGAGGGGCCTAAAACGGGGCTAGCGGGAGGGTCGCATGAGCGCTCACTTGAGGGGAATCAAGCACGGGGAGGCTCGCATGGGGTGCCGAGCTGGGCGGTGATGGTGACGCAGCGGGAGAAGTGGGAGGAGGAGGCGGAGCGGGAGGAGGCGCGGGAGAGGGACGTGGATGATGCACGTGTGGCGCTGGCACCGCTGCTGGCGGCGATGCAGGGTGAGAGGACGATGAGGGAGGAGAAGGTGAGGGGGGAGACGAGGGACTGGGGGGATGAGGAGAAGACGAGGGGGGAGGAGAGGGATGGTGGAATTGAGAGGGAAATGGGGGCAGGGGAGAGTGGGAAGGAGAGAGGAGAGGAGGTTGTGGAGCAAGAGCATATTTATACGGGACCTGCTTATAACGAACAGTTTGGTGCTGCTGCCCCTGGTGCGAGCGTGGATATTTATGCTGGCGATACAGTGCTGCGTGATGGACTTGTGCATGCTAACGATGCAGCCAGAATCGAGGATAGGGATGGGGATGGTCAAGGGGAGAAGAGTGGGGGGAGGGAAGGGGTGAGAACGAATGGAGAGGGGGGTGCGGAGGTGAGGGGCGGAGGGAAAGGTGAGGAGGTGAGGCGGAGAGAGAAGGGTGACGAGACGGCGAGAGGAGAGGTGGTTATATCTGATGGCAGAAGGGTGAGAGGACAGCGCATGAAGGTTCGACCCAGGTGGGTGCGGTCAGATAAGGGCGCGTTGGGGAGGCAAAAGAGGTTCGGTGGCAAGGAGTGGAGAGGGGCGGGGCAGGGTGGGAGGAGGGAGGATACCGGGGAAGGAAGGAGGGGGATGAAGGGGGAGAAGGAAGGGTTAGGGGAGAAGGAGAGGGAGATGGATAGAGACGGTGAAAGGGGCAGAACGGGGCGGCTGTTGAGGGGTTTGGATGTGGGCGCGGAGGGAAGTGGGGAGGCGGGTGGTGGGAGGGAATGGGATGAGGAGGATGGAAGGGGAGAAAGGACTGATCAAAGCAGAGGAAGAACAGTGGGTGCGAGTGAGGGAGTGAGTGAGGGAGTGGGCGAGGGAGTGAACACAGGAATGAGTGAGGGAGGGAGCGAGGGAAGAGAGGGAGTGGGAGGGGAAGAGGGAGCAAGAGGGGGAGAGGGAATAAGCAAGAGAGCAGAGGAGGCGAGAGGAGAGGAGGTGAGAGGAGAGGAGGTGAGTGAGGAGGAGTTGAGGCGGCGAGTGGGGCTCCTGGTGTGGCCCATGCCGGCACTCATTGCTGCTGTGGGGCGTCAAGAGGCGGCCATCAGTCCCTTGCTGCAGCTGTCGCTGGAGCTGGGGGAAAGGGGTGCAGGGATGGGAGATGAGGAGGAGGGAGAGGAGGGGGAGGAGGGGGGTTGTGAGTGGGGCAACGGGGAGGGTGGTGAGGTGGGCGGTGAATATGGTGGCTCTTCACGTGTGCGGCAGCAAGATGCAGCACAGGTGGCGTCACAGGAGGCTTCAAGGGAAGCAGCAGGGCGGGCAGCAGGGGGGGCAAGGAGACGTGCATCACAGCAGGCAGCAGGCCGTGCGGTGCTGTGTGCTGCCTTCCACCACTTTCTCTCCTCCACCCTCTCCCCACACCGCTCCCTGCCCGCCCTCCTGGCTGCGCTTGAGGAAAGGGGAGGTGGAGAAGGAGGAGGAGAGGAGGGAGGAAAAGGGCAAGGGGAGAAAAGTGCATGGCAGCAGCCAGAGGAGGGGTCACTGATGTTTCGTGCGAGCGGCAAACTGTTGTCCGATTCCCCAGGCTCATCACTGCTCGCCAGGTGTCACGTGCTGGTTGGACGGCTGGGTCATGGGCCTGTCTCGTGGTGGCTGAGACAGGTGGTGCTGTCCACGTGGCAGCTGTTCACTGGCTGGGAGGACAGGCTGTTGAGAGAGCAAGGGGAGGAGACCAGGGGGAGGAGCATGGTCAACGGCAGCAGCAGCAATAGCAGCAGCGGCAGTGGCAGCGGCAGCGGCAGCGGCAGCGGCAGTGACAGCGACAACAGTAGCGGCAGGGGGGGCGAGACAGTGGGGGCAGTGCTCCTTGTAGAATCTCTGCTCATTGCGGTTGCCCGGCCAGAGGAAGAGGTACAGAGGGGTGGAGAGCGGTGATGATGCATGCATCGCCCATTCGTCGTCAGCAATCTCCAGCCCCACCCACCCAACAACCCCCCCTCTTCCCCCTTCCCCCATTCTCCCGGCCAGCTGGAGGTGGGGGCAGACGAGAGCTATGTGCTCACTGTGGGGGTCCCTGCTGCACCGGGCCATTTGCCAGGAGTGATTGACAGCCCCCCCACACCCAACAACCAACCCCCCTTCCCCCTTCTTCCTCACAGCTGGAGGTGGGGGCAGACGAGAGCTATGTGCTCACTGCGGGGGTCCCTGCTGCACCGGGCCATTCGTCGTCAGCAGCAATGATCAAAATCCACGTGAGCAGGAGTGCTGGGCGCGGTGCAGGGGATGGGTTGCGGTGCACGGGTGGTGTGGTTTCTCCATGTTGTTGCATGCACCCCTCGCATGCACCCCTCGCATGCACCCCTCGCATGCCACCGTGTCTCGTCACCCACCCTCTCCCCTCTCCACCCATTCTTTCCGTGCTTCTTCCCCCTCCTCCTCCCTGCGTCCACCCCTCCCCCCATTGCTCCGCCAGGCAAACACAACAATGGGCGCACTCAGAGCACTGGAGGTATGTTGTTTGTTGTTTGCCCCAGCTTGCCGCCCACATTTTGCCGCCCGTTGTGTTCGGCTCACCATCCCCTTCCCCTTCCCTTCCCACTCCCCTTCCCCCTCCCGCTCCCCCTCACCCTCCCCCTCCCTTCCTACTCCCTTTCCCCCTCCCGCTCCGCCTCACCCTCCCCCTCCCTCTCCCCCTCACCCTCCCCCTCCCCCTCCCCCTCCCCCTCTCCACCCCCCAACCCCCTCTCCGCCTCCCCCTCTCCCTCCCCTCCTCTTATGGCAGACGTTGAGTCAGCTGGTGCGTGGGGACCCCTCTTCCCGTCTGGCTCTGCTGCAAGGCGTGCCTCTCACCATCCACGACCGCCCGCGCTTCCCCCACCGAGGGGTGCTGCTGGGTGAGAGAGTGGTGGTGCTGGGTGGGAGAGCGGTGCTGCTGGGTGGGAGAGTGGTTCTGCTGGGTGGAAAAGCGGTGGTGCTGAGTGAGAGAGCGGTGCTGGTGGGTGTTAAGTCACTTGTTGAGGCAAGTCAATCTGAACTTCATGCCTCCCTCTCTCACCTCACCCCCCTCTCACCCCCCTCTCACCCCATTTCCCTCTGTTCCCACCACCCTCTGTTCCCACCATCCTCTGTTCCCACCATCCTCTGTTCTCTCTGCCTTGCCACAGACACGGCAAGGCACTTCCACCCCGTCCCCTTTATAGAGCGACTCTTGGACTCGATGTCGTATGCCAAACTCAACGTGCTGTAAGTCTATACACTGACCTATTTACACACAAAACCCCTGTGTATGCACCCATACACATGCACATAGATGCACGAACATGCACACACACATGCATGCATTTGGCTCACCTTGCAAAAACTCCCGCACTCTCGTCCATTCCCCCTCCGACTTCCTACCCCCTCCGACCTCCTCTCCCCTCCGACCAGCCACTGGCACCTGGAGAACACCCCCTCCAATTGAAACCAACTTGCGCGACTTAATGCACGTTGGAGCGACGCGCGCGCCTTGGTCCACGCGCACGCGACTTGGTCCACGCGCGCGCGACATGGTCCACGCGCGCGCCTTGGTCCACGCGCTCGCGACTTGGTCCACACGCGCGCCTACGTCCACGCGCGCGCCTTGGTCCGCGCGTGCGCGCCTTGGTCCACGCGCACGCGCCTAGGTCCACGCGCGCGCCTTGGTCCACGCGCGCGCGCCTTGGTCCACACGCGCGCCTTGGTCCACGTGCGCGCCATGGTCCACGCGCGCGCCTAGGTCCACGCGCGCGCCTTGGTCCACGCGCGGGCGCCTTGGTCCGCGCGTGCGCGCCTTGGTCCACGCGCACGCGCCTAGGTCCACGCGCGCGCCTTGGTCCACGCGCGCGCGCCTTGGTCCACACGCGCGCCTTGGTCCGCGTGCGCGCCATGGTCCACACGCGCGCCTAGGTCCACGCGCGCGCCTTGGTCCACGCGCGGGCGCCTTGGTCCGCGCGTGCGCGCCTAAGACCGCGCGCGCGCCTTGGTCCACGTGCGCGCGCCTTGGACCGCGCGCGCAGCGCGACTTGGTCCGCGCGCGCGCGCGTTGGTCCGGGCGCGCGCGTTGGTCCGGGGGCGCGCGTTGGTCCGGGGGCGCGCGTTGGTCCGGGGGCGCGCGTTGGTCCGGGGGCGCGCGTTGGTTCGGGGGCGCGCGTTGGTCCGGGCGCGCGCGTTGGTCCGGGCGCACGCGTTGGTCCGGGGGCGCTCGTGGTCCGGGCGCGCGCATTGGTCCGGGGGCGCGCGTTGGTGTGGGGGCACGCGTTGGTCCTGGGGTGCGCGTTGGTCCGGGGGCGCGCGTTGGTCTGGCGCGCGCATTGGTCCGGGCGCGCGCGTTGGTCCAGGCGCGCGTGTTGGTCCGGGTGCGCGCGTTGGTCCGGGCGCGCGTTTTGGTCCGGGCGCGCGCGTTGGTCCGGGGGCGCGCGTTGGTCCGGGGTCGCGCGTTGGTCCGGGGGCACGCGTTGGTCCGAGCGCGCGCGTTGGTCCGAGCGCGCGCGTTGGTCCGGGGGCGTGCATAAGTCCGGGCGCGCGGGTTGGTCCGGGAGTGCGCGTTGGTCCGGGGGCGCGCGTTGGTCCGGGGGTGCGCGTTGATCTGAGGGCGCGCGTTGGTCCGGGGGCGCGCGTTGGTCGGGGGGCGCGCGCTGGTTCGGGGGCATGCATTGGTCCGGGGTGCGCGTTGGTCCTGGGGCGCGTGTTGGTCCGAGCGCGCGCGTTGGTCCGGGCGCGCGCATTGGTCCGGGGACGCAAGTTGGTCCAAGGGGGCGCGTTGGTCCGGGGGCGCGCGTTGGTCCGGGCGCGCGCGTTGGTCCGGGGGCGCGCGTTGGTCCGGGGGCGTGCGCGTTGGTCCCGGGGCGCGCGTTGGTCCGGGGGCACGCGTTTTTCCGGGGGCGCGCGTTGGTCTAGGAGCGCGCGTTGATCCGGGCGCGCGCGTTGGTCCGGGGGCGCACATTGGTCCGGGGGCGCGCGTTGGTCCGGGCGCGCGCGTTGGTCCGGGGGCGCGCGTTGGTCCGGGCGTGCGCGTTGGTCCGGGGGCGCGCTTTGGTCCGGGCGCGAGCGTTGGTCCGGGGGCGCGCGTTGGTCGGGGGGCGCGCGTTGGTCCGTGGGCGAGCGTTGGTCCGAGGACTGGAGTTGATCCGCGGACGCGCGTTGGTCCGGGGGCGCGCGTTGGTCCGGGCGCGCGTGTTGGTCCGGGGACGCGCGTTGGTCGGGGGGCGCGCGTTGGTCTGGGAGCGCGTGTTGGTCCGGGGGCGCGCGTTGGTCCGGGGACGCGCGTTGGTCCGGGTGCGCGCGTTGGTCCGGGGCGCGCGTTGGTCCGGGGGCGCGCGTTGGTCCGGGGGCGCGCGTTGGTCCGGGGGCGCGCGTTGGTCCGGGGGCGCGCGCAGGTCCGGGCGCGCGCGTTGGTATGGGGGCGCGCGTTGGTCCGGGGGCGCGCATTGGTCTAGGGGTGCGCGTAGGTACGGGCGCGTGCGTTGGTCCGGGGGCGCGCGTTGGTCCAGGGGCGCGCGGCGTTGGTCTGGGGGCGCGCGTTGGTACGGGGGCGCGCGTTGGTCCGGGGGCGCGGGGACGCGCGTTGGTCGGGGGGCGCGCATTGGTCCAGAGGCGCGTGTTGGTCTTGGGGCGCGCGTTGTCCCGGGCGCGCGCGTTGGTCCGGGCGCGCGCGTTAATCCGGGCGCGCGCGTTGGTCCGGGGGCGCGCATTGGTCCGGGGGCGCGCATGGGTCCGGGCGCGCGCGTTGGTCCGGACGCGCGCTTTGGTCCAGGCGCGCGCGTTGGTCCGGGCGCGCGCGTTGGTCTGGGGGCGCGTGTTGGAACGGGCGCGCGCGTTGGTCCGGGGGCGCGCGTTGGTCCGGGGGCGCGCGTTGGTCCGGGCGGGCGCATTGGTCCACGCGCGCGCGTTGGTCCACGCGTGCGCATTGGTCGAGGGGCGCGCATTGGTCGAGGGGCGCACGTTGGTTCGGGGGCGCGCGTTGGTCCGGGGGCGCGCGTTGGTCCGGGGGTGCGCGTTGGTCCGGGGGCCCGCGTTGGTCCGGGGGCGCGCGTTGGTCCGAGGGCGCGCGTTAGTCCAGGCGCGCGCGTTGGTCCGGGGGCGCGCGTTGGTCCGGGGGCGCGCGGCGTTGGTCCGGGGGCGCGCGTTGGTCCGGGGGCGCGCGTTGGTCCAAGGGCGCGTTGGTCCGGGCGCGCGCGTTGTTCCGGGCGGGCGTGTTGGTCCGGGGGCGCGCGTTGGTCCGGGTGCGCGTGTTGGTCCGGGGGCGCGCGTTGTTCCGGGCGCGTGTTGGTCCGGGGGCGCGCGTTGGTCGGGGGGCTCGCGTTGGTCCGGGTGCGCGCGTTGGTCCGGGGGCGCGCGTTGGTCCGGGGGCGCGCGTTGGTCCGGGGGCGCGCGTTGGTCCGGGGGCGCGCGTTGGTCCGGGGGCGCGCGTTGGTCCAGGGGCGCGCGCTGGTCCGGGCGCGCGCGTTGGTCCGGGCGCGCGCGTTGGTCTGGGGGCGCGCGTTGGTCCGGGGGCGCGCGTTGATCCGGGGGTGCGCGTAGGTACGGGCGCGTGCGTTTGTCCGGGGGCGCGCGGCGTTGGTCTGGGGGCGCGCATTGGTTCGGGGGCGCGCGTTGGTCCGGGGGCGCGGGGGCGCGCGTTGGTCGGGGGGGCGCGCATTGGTCCGGGGGCGCGTATTGGTCTTGGGGCGCGCGTTGTCCCGGGCGCACGCGTTGGTCCGGGCGCGAGCGTTAATCTGGGCGCGCGCGTTGGGACGGGGGCGCATTTTTGTCCTGGGGCGCGCGTTGGTCCGGGCACGCGCGTTGGTCCGGGGGCGCGCATTGGTCCGGGGGCGCGCATTGGTCCGGGGGCGCGCATTGGTCCGGGCGCGCACGTTGATCCAGGCGCGCGCGTTGGTCCAAGCGCGCGCGTTGGTCCGGGCGCGCGCATTGGTCTGGGGGCGCGTGTTGGTACGGGCGCGCGCGTTGGTCCGGGGGTGCGCGTTGGTCCGGGCGGGCGCGTTGGTCCAGGGGCGCGCGTTGGTCCGGGGGCGCGCGTTGGTCCACGCGCGCGCATTGGTCCGGGGGCGCGCATTGGTCGAGGGGCGCACGTTGGTTCGGGGGCGCGCGTTGGTCCGGGGGCGCGCGTTGGTCCGAGGGCGCGCGTTAGTCCGGGGGCGCGCGTTCGTCCGGGGGCGCGCGTTGGGCCAGGCGCGCGCGTTGGTCCGGGGGCGCGCGTTGGTCCGGGGGCGCGCGTTGGTCCGGGTGCGCGCGTTGGTTCGGGGGCGCGCGTTGGTCCGGGGGCGCGCGTTGGTCCGGGGGCGCGCGTTGGTCCAGGGGCGCGCGCTGATCCGGGCGCGCGCGTTGGTCCGGGCGCGCGCGTTGGTCTAGGGGCGCGCGTTGGTCCGGGGGCGCGCGTTGGTCCGGAGGGTGCGCGTAGGTACGGGCGCGTGCGTTTGTCCGGGGGCGCGCGTTGGTCTAGGGGCGCGCGTTGGTCCGGGGGCGCGCGTTGGTCCGGGGGCGCGCGTTGGTCCGGGGGCGCGCGTTGGTCCGGGGGCGCGCGTTGGTCCGGGGGCGCGCGTTGGTCCGGGGGCGCGCGTTGGTCCAGGGGCGCGCGCTGATCCGGGCGCGCGCGTTGGTCCGGGCGCGCGCGTTGGTCTGGGGGCGCGCGTTGGTCCGGGGGCGCGCGTTGGTCCGGGGGTGCGCGTAGGTACGGGCGCGTGCGTTTGTCCGGGGGCGCGCGTTGGTCTAGGGGCGCGCGTTGGTCCGGGGGCGCGCGTTGGTCCGGGGGCGCGCGTTGGTCCAAGGGCGCGCGTTGGTCCGGGGGCGCGCGTTGGTCCGGGGGCGCGCGTTGGTCCGGGCGCGCGCGTTGGTCCAGGGGCGCGCGTTGGTCCGGGGGCGCGCGTTGGTCCGAGGGCGCGCGTTGGTCCGCGGGCTCACGTTGGTCCGGGGGCGCGCGTTGGTCCCGGGGCGTGCGTTGGTTCGGGGGCGCGCGATTGGTCCGGGCGCGCGCGTTGGTCCGGGGGCGCGTGATGGTCCGGGGGCGCGCGTTGGTCCGGGGGCTCGCGTTGGTCCGGCGCGCGCATTGGTCCGGCGCGCGCGTTAGTCCGGCGCGCGCGTTAGTCCGGGCGCGCGCGTTGGTCTGGGGGCGCACGTTGGTCCGGAGGCGCGCGTTGGTCCGGGGGCGCGCGTTGGTCCGGGGGCGCGCGTTGGTCCGGGCGTGCGCGTTGGTCCGGGGGCGCGCGTTGGTCCGGGGGCGTGCGTTGGTCCGGGGGCGTGCGTTGGTCCGGGCGCGCGTTTTGGTCTGGGCGCGCGCGTTGGTCCGGGCGCGCGCGTTGGTCCGGGCGCGCGCGTTGGTCTGGGCGCACATGTTGGTCCGGGCGCGCGCGTTGGTCCGGGCGCGCGCGTTAATCCGGGCACGCGCGTTTGTACGGGCGCGCGTGTTTGTCCCGGGTCGCGCGTTGGTCTGGGCGCGCGCGTTGGTCCGGGGGCGCGCATTGGTCCGGGGGCGCGCATTGGTCGGGGGGCGCGCATTGGTCCGGGGGTGCGCATTGGTCCGGGCGCGCGCGTTGGTCCTGGCGCGCGCGTTGGTCCGGGCGCGCGCGTTGGTCCCGGGGCGCGCGTTGGTCCGGGGGCGCGCGTTGGTCCGGGCGCGCGCATTGTTCCGGGCGCGCGCGATGGTCCGGGCGCGCGCGTTGGTACGGGCGCTCGTGTTGGTCTGAGGCGCGCGTTGGTCCGGGCGCGCGGGTTGGTCCGGGTGCACGCGTTGGTCCGGGCGCGCGCGTTGGTCCCGGGGGCGCGCGTTGGTCTGGGGGCGCGCGTTGGTCCGGGGGCGCGCGTTGGTCCAGGGGCGCGCGTTGGTCCGGGGGCGCGCGTTGCTCGGGGGGCGCGTGTTGGTCCGGGGGCGCGCGTTGGTCCAGGTGCGCGCGTTGGTCCGGGCGCGCGCGTTGGTCTGGGGGCGTGCGTTGGTCCGGGCGCGCGCGTTGATCCGGGCCCGCGCGTTGGTCCTGGGGCGCGCGTTGTTCGGGGGCGCGCGTTGGTCAGGGCGCGCGCGTTAGTCCGGGCGCGCGCGTGGTCCAGGGGCGCGCGTTGGTCCGGGGGCGCGCGTTGGTCCATGGGCGCGCGTTGGTCCGGGGGCGCGTGTTGGTCTGAGGGCGCGCGTTGGTCCGGGGGCGCGCGTTGGTCCGGCGCGCGCGTTAGTCCGGGCGCGCGCGTTGGTCTGGGGGCGCGCGTTGGTCCGAGGGCGCGCGTTGGTCCAGGCGCGCGCGTTGGTCTGGGCGCGCGCGTTGGTCTGGGGGCATGCGCTGGTCCGGGAGCGCGCGTTTGTCCGGGCGCGCGCGACGGTCCGGGGGCACGCGTTGGTCCCGGGGCGCACGTTGGTCCGGGCGTGCGCGTTGGTCTGGGGGCGTGCGTTGGTCCGGGGGCGCGCGTTGGTCGGGGGGCGCGCATTGGTCCGGGGGCGCACGTTGGTCCGAGAGTGCGTGTTGGTCCGGGGGCGCGCGTTGGTCCGGGGGTGCGCGGCGTTGGTCCGGGGGCGCGCGTTGGTCCGGGCGCGCGTTTTGGTCTGGGCGCGCGCGCTGGTCCGGGGCTAAATGGAGAAAGATGCACCCTGCATAAACCCTAAACCGTGAGGGGACAATTTTGCTTGACATGTGTGCATCGTCGTCCCCCCCTCCTCTTTCCACACCCTAAGACATTAGTTCATGGTTGCCTGGGGGTTTTTTTGCCCTGCCTGGGAATGCGTCTTTTCATGCGTCCTAAAGGCCCTCCTTTAGCGTCCTGCGTCTAAGACGCTGCGTCTGGACGCAAGCGTCCTAGACGCAGAACGCATCTTTCTCCACACAGGTCCAGGGGCGCGCGTTGGTCCGGGGGCGCGTGTTGGTCCGGGCGCGCGCGTTGGTCCGGGCGCGCGCGTTGGTCCGGGGGCGCGCGTTGGTCCGGGCGCGTGCGTTGGTCCGGGCGCGCGCGTTGGTCCGGGCGCGCGCGTTGGTCCGGGCGCGCGCGTTGGTCCGGGCGCGCGCGTTGGTCCGGGCGCGCGCGTTGGTCCGGGCGCGTGCGTTGGTCCAAACACACACGTTGGTCCGGGCGCGCGCGTTGGTCCGGGCGCGCGCGTTGGTCTGGGGGCGCGCGCGTTAGGCCGGGCGCGCGCGTTGGTCCGGGGGCGCGCGTTGGTCCGGGGGCGCGCGTTGGTCCAGGCGCGCACGTTGGTCTGGGGGCGCGCGTTGGCCCGGGCGCGCGCGTTGGTCCGGGGGCGCTTGTTGGTCCGGGGGCGCGCGTTGGTCCGTGGCGCGCGTTGGTCCTGGGGTGTGTGTTGGTCCGGGCGCGCGCACTGGTCCGGGCGCGCGCGCTGATCCGGGCGCACGCGTTGGTCCGGGCGCGCGCGTTGGTCCGGGGGCGCGCATTGGTCCGGGCGCGCGCGTTGGTCCGGGGGTGCGCGTTGGTCCGGGCGCGCGCGTTGGTCCGGGGGCGCGCGTTGGTCCGGGCGCGCGCGTTGGTACGGGCGCGCGTGTTGGTCCGGGGGCGCGCGTTGGTCGGGGGGCGCGCGTTGGTCCGGGGGCGCGCGTTGGTGCGGGCGCGCGCGTTGGTCCGGGGGCGTGCGTTGGTCCGGGCGCGCGCGTTGGTCCGGGCGCGCGCGTTGGTCCCGGAGCGCGCGTTGGTCCGGGGGCGCGCGTTGGTCCGGGCGCGCGCGTTGGTCCGGGCGCGCGCGTTGGTCCGGGGGCGCGCGTTGGTCCGGGGGGGCGCGTTGGTCCGGGGGCGCGCGTTGGTCCGGGGGCGCGCGTTGGTCCGGGCGCGCGCGTTGGTCCAGGGGCGCGCGTTGGTCCGGGCGCGCGCGTTGGTCCGGGCGCACGCGTTGGTCCGGGGGCGCGCGTTGGTCTGGGGGCGCGCGTTGGTCCAGGCGCGCGCGTTGGTCCGGGGGCGCGCGTTGGTCAGGGCGCGCGTGTTGGTCCGGGGGCGCGCGTTGGTCCGGGGACGGGCGTTGGTCCGGGGGCGCGCGTTGGTCCGAGGGCGTGCGTTGGTCCGGGCGCGCGCGTTGGTCCCGGAGCGCGCGTTGGTCCGGGGGTGCGCGTTGGTCCGGGGGTGCGCGTTGGTCCGGGCGCGCGCGATGGTCCGGGGGCGCGCGTTGGTCCGGGCGCGCGCGTTGGTCCGGGCGCGCGCGTTGGTCCGGGGGCGCTCGTTGGTCCGGGGGCGCGCGTTGGTCCGGGGGCGCGCGTTGGTTCGGGGGCGCGCGTTGGTCCGGGCGCGCGCGTTGGTCCGGGAGCGCGCGTTGGTCCGGGGGTGTGCGTTGGTCCGGGGGCGCGCGTTGGTCCGTGGGCGCGCGTTGGTCCGGGGGGCGCGTTGGTCTGGGCGCGTGCGTTGGTCCGGGGGCGCGCGTTGGTCCGTGGGCGCGCGTTGGTCTGGGGGCGCACGCTGGTCCGGGCGCGCGCGCTGGTCCGGGCGCGCGCGCTGGTCCGGGCGCGCGCTTTGGTCCGGGCGCGCGCGCTGGTCCGGGCACGCGCGCTGGTCCGGGCGCGCGCCTTGGTCCGCGCGCCCGCGTTGGTCCGCGCGCCCGCCTTGGTCCGCGCGCCCGCCTTGGTCCGCGCGCACGCGCCTTGGTCCGCACACGCGCGCCTTGGTCCGCGCGCGCGCTTTGGTCCACGCAGGCGTGCGGCGCGCGCGCCTTGGTCTACGCGCGCGCCTTGGTCCGCGCGCGCGCTTTGGTCCGGGCGCGCGCCTTGTTCCGCGCGCGCGCCTTGGTCCTCGCGCGCGCGCCTTGGTCCACGCTCGCGCCTTGGTCCACGCGCGCGCGCCTTGGTCCACGCGTGCGCGCCTCTGTCCACGCGTGTGCCTCTGTCCTTGCGCGCGCCTCTTTCCGCGCGCGCGCGCTGTGGTCCGTGCGCGCGCGCGCCTTGGTCCGCGCGCGTCTCTTGGTCCACGCTCGCTCGCCTTGGTCCACGCGCGCGCCTTGGCTTGCACGCGCCTTTCTCCGGGTCCTGGTCCGCGCATGCCCCATTCCCCCCCTCCCTCTTCACCCTCCCCCCAGTCACTGGCACCTGGTCTGTAGGTCGCAGATGCCTTCCCCATCCAGACGCCCTCCTTGCACCACCCCCCACATATCCCCCTTCTCACGCCCCTTCTTCCCCATCCCGCCATTCTCCTTCCCCCCAGTCACTGGCATCTAGTGGACGCAGAGGCCTTCCCCATCGAGACACCCTCCTTCCCCTCTCCATTCTTTCCTCCCCCTCTCTCCCCTCTGCCCCCCTCCCCGTCCCCATCCCCTCCCTTCTTCCCCCCAGCCACTGGCATCTAGTGGACGCAGAGGCCTTCCCCATTGAGACGCCCTCCTTCCCGCGCCTCTGGAAGGGTGCCCACTCTCCCCACGAGCGCTACTCCCTCGCTGACATGCGGCACGTGGTGGGGTGAGCACTGGCACGTGGTGGGGTGAGCACTGGCACGTGGTGGGGTGAGCACTGGCACGTGGCACGTTGTTGAAGCTAGGTGTCTCAGAACAGAGTCTGGAAGGCTTCTTTCCCCCCCCACGAGCACTATTCGCTTGCAGATATGCGGCACGTGGTGCAGTGAGTTGAGAGACGTGGTGGCTTGAGGGGAGTGATGTGGTGGGGCATGTGGTGGGGTGAGGGGAGTGATGTGGTGGGGCATGTGGTGGGGTGAGGGGAGTGATGTGGTGGGGCATGTGGTGGGGTGAGGGGAGTGATGTGGTGGGGCATGTGGTGGGGTGAGGGGAGTGATGTGGTGGGGCATGTGGTGGGGTGAGGGGAGTGATGTGGTGGGGCATGTGGTGGGGTGAGGGGAGTGATGTGGTGGGGCATGTGGTGGGGTGAGGGGAGTGATGTGGTGGGGCATGTGGTGGGGTGAGTTGGGAGGGATGACCCATGTTGTTCAGGCGCCTCAAAAACTGGCATTGGGAATGTTTTTGAAGCTCACCTAATTTGCCGTCTTTTCCAATTTCTGTGGCTTCGGTTCTTCGACGGCCTTTTAAAGACTCCACTTCAACAGCCCGTCTGTGCTGATGTTTATTCTGTTTTCTGGTGATCCAACTTCCCCCTTGGTTTCCGTCTCCAACCCTGTCCATCCCTTTCCACCGCTCTCCACCCCTCTACACTCCCCTTCAGCTATGCAGCAGCACGTGGCATTGTTGTCATTCCTGAAATTGACCTGCCATCTCACTCCAAGGCATGGTGAGCTGACATGGCTCCAATCCAAGCCACAGAGGGCAGGGCTGCTTGCACTAGCTCTTACAAGCCATCAATTCTTTGCACGGCTGCTCTCAAAACACGCCTGTCGCTGACTCCTCCCGTGTTGCTATCGATTTCTCGCGTCTCATGTGGTCACCTCATACGTTCGCCCCATGTGTTTCAATTCCATGCCGCATCTTGTTATATTTAACCCAGGGGAGTGGGCTATCCGGCCCTGCTCCCAGCCTTCAACTGTTCCGAGCCTCTCGACGTTTCCAATGAGTTCACCTTCCGAGTCATACAGGGCGTGCTCACAGGTAATGTGCGGTGATGGCAGGTGATGTGCGGTGATGGCAGGTGATGTGCGGTGATGGCAGGTGATGTGCTACCTTTTTAGTTGCATGCATCAACCAAAGAAGTGGAACAAGGCACGAATACTAACTAGGTTCTCCTGTAGCTTTTGAATTATGCAGACCGCACTTCACCTGCTGTCTCATCCCTCATCCCTCATCCCTCATCCCCCATCCCTCATCCCTCATCCCCCATCCCTCATCCCTCATCCCCCATCCCTCATCCCTCATCCCCCATCCCTCATGAATCATGCGTGATGCGTCATTCCCATTCCTCATCCCTCGTGCCTCATATGACTGTTCTTCTGCATGCAATGGGCGTGCAGACCTGCGGTCAGTCTTTCCGGGGCCGACAATCCACATTGGTGGGGACGAAGTGAATGCAGGTGAGAGGATGTGGGGAAAGCTGGAGGAAGTGAGGGAAGTGAGAGGAAATGATGGTGACAGAAGCGATTGTGATGGATGTCACTGTTGGGTCAAAGGGTCCGATCTCCCCCACGCTCTTTCTTCCTTTCTCAAACGGTCCTTTGTATCGATTCTCCCTCACACATACACTCCCCATGCTCTGCCCATTGCACTCTTTGTTCGTGCTCCCCCCGCTGCTCTCCCCATGCCACCCGGATCATGCAGAGTGTTGGACAACTGTTCCTCACATCTACAACTGGTGAGTGCCCTCTCACATATCCCTGCCCCATAGCCCTACACCACATTCCTATCCCATGGCCCAGCCCCACATTCCTATCCCATGGCCCAGCCCCACATTCCTGCGTTTCTCTCTCGCTCAGCTGTAAAAAAAAGGAAGGGAAAGAACGAAGGCGAGGATTGAAGCTGTTTCTCTCCAATCCAGCAAACCCGTCTCTCCTCTCCTCTCCTCTCCTCTCCTCTCCTCTCCTCTCCTCTCCTCTCCTCTCCTCTCCTCTCCTCTCCAATCCTCTCCTCTCCTCTCCTCTCTCCGCTCATTTGACCATTCCCATCTCGCCTTTCTCTGATTGCCCGGGAGTGCAGGAGGAAGGAGCACAGGAGGACAGTGAAGGCGTCTATAGCCTACTTTGTGAACCGCGTGCAGGCCATTGCAAGCCAGCTCGGATGGACCACAACCGTTGTCTGGTGGGTGTTGGTTTGGAGCATGCTGCTGTGCTGGGTGATGGGCTGCTCATGACTGGTGGTGTCCCGCTGCTGATGGGTGGTGATGGGTGGGTGGTGATGGGTGGGTGGTGATGGGTGGGTGGTGAAGGATGGGTGGTGAAGGGTGGGTGGTGAAGGCAGCCATAGCCTACTTTGTGAACCGCGTGCAGGCCATTGCAAGCCAGCTTGGATGGACCACCACCATCGTCTGGTGAGTGCTGGGCTGCTGATGAGTGGTGATCGGTGGTGATGGGTGGTGATCGGTGGTGATGGGTGGTGATCGGTGGTGATGGGTGGTGATGTTGGCGAAGGCATTTATCGCACATCCCCTCCACCTTCACTCTCTCCTGTTTCCACTGCTGCCCACTTGCTCTCCCCTGCTTCCCACTCGGCAAATTCTGAGTCAACTCAGAATACACCCCCCCTGTCTCCTCTCTGCATGCCTGCATGCCTGCATGCCTGCATGCCTGCATGCCTGCAATCCCCTGTTTTTCGCTATCTGTATGGTGGCATGGTGGTATGGTGGCATGCTGGCATGGTGGCATGCTGGCATGGCGGCAGGGAGGAGTCATTTTTCAATGTCAGGAGGCACCTCAATCCCACAACCACCATCGTGCAAAGCTGGTATGCTCCCTTCATCTCACATGCTCCCAGCTCCTCTTTTCCTCACCACTTCCTTTCTTGAGGAGGCACCCCAATCCGGTTGCAAACCGACCGCCTGTCCAACATGGCAGCGTGAGGGTTTCACATCGTTCACACGACTGCAGGCGGGTGGTACCTCTCTTCTGCCCCACCCCTGCCATCTTCTCCCCCTTGCTTCGCCATCCCTCCTCCTCGTTCCCTCCTTGCTCCCGTCTGACTCTGCCTCAACCGCCCCTCCCAGGCTGAAAACCGACCGCCTGCCCAACATGGCAGGGTGGGGGTTCCGCGTCGTCCACACGAATGCCGGTAGCGGGTGGTGCCTCTCTTTTGCCCCATCCCTGCCTCCTCGTTGCTTCCCAAACTCTCCTCCTTATTCCCTTCCTCTTGCCTAAACCAGGCTGAAAACCGACAGCCTGCCCAACATGGCAGCGTGGGGGTTCCGCATCGTTCACACGAATGCCGGGGGCGGGTGGTACCTGGACTCGCTACAGTCCCGCTGGGAGCATGCTTATAGAGAGGATCCCACTGACCTGGTGCTGCAGGTGGAACGAGAGAGGATGGAGAGCGAGGAGGATGGTGGGGATGTGTGGAGTGGGGATGGTGGGGATGGTGGGGATGGTGGGGGTGGTGGGGATGGTGGGAGTGGCGGTGGGTGGAGTGGGGAGGAGGGTTGGAATTCAGGCAGAAAGGAGGGGGGTGGGCATGTGGGGGGAGGTGAGGAGGGTTGGAATGTGGGGGGAAGGGAGGGGGCTGGGGATGTGGAAGGTGGAGGGGTTGGGGACAGTGGGGATGGGTTGGGAAGCTTGTGGCCTGATAAGTGGGGAGAGGGAGTGGGAGGGGGAGGGGGAGGGGGAGGTGGAGGGGGAGGGGGAGGGGGAGGGGGAGGGGGAGGGGGAGAGACCCCCACTGCGGTTTTGCTGGAGCGTCTGCGAGGGAGATTGAGAGTGGAGGAGTTGGCAGGTGTGGGGGCGAGAGGGGGAGAGGATGCAAGAGAGGGTGGAGATGTGGATGGGACGGGAGGAGACGGGGCGGGGAGTGTGGGGGGCATGCAGAAGCTGGGAGGAGAAGAAGGTGAAAAGGGGGAGGAGAAGGGAGAGGAGGGAGGGGGAGAGACAGTGGGACGAGAAGCAGGGAAGGAGCATCAGGGGGAAGAGCAGGGAAGAGGTAAAATCATTCACATGGCTGTGGGCGGACGGGAGGGGGATCGAGGCGAGCGAGGGTTGGGAGGGGATGAGGGGGAGGGAAAGGACACGTCAGCAGGGACTGGAGTGAGGAGAAGGGTCCTGGAGTGGACAGGAGGAGGGGAGGGAGGTGAGGAAGGAGAGACAAGAAGGGAGGAGGAGAAGAGGAGGCGGTGGGAGGAGCTGGAGGCGTTGGCAGAGAGAGTGGTGGTGGGGGGGGAGGTGTGTGCGTGGAGTGAGAGGATCGACCCCTCACAACTCATGGCCACAGTGTGGCCGCGTGCTGCTGCCATGGCAGGTGAGCTGCTTCTGAGAGTTGCTCACTTCTTAGTTACTTCTGAGTCACTATTGAGAATTCTCATAATTAGAAATTCTCGTAAGTGAAAACTCTCGCAAGTGCCTTGTGTGTAACTCCATGCCAACAGTGTGGTCGCGTGCTGCTGCCATGGCAGGTGAGATGGGGCCGTGACAACTGTCTCACTGTGCTGTGTGGGAGGTGTGTGTGCGATTTTCTCTGTCAGAAACCCCCCTTCACACACCACCCCCCATTTGTCCCTTTTCCCGCTTTTCCCCACATCACTTTTTCTTCTCCGACCCCACACCCTCCCACCCCACCTTCCACCTCCCCGTCTTCCCCGTTTCTCCCCTCTGCCGCGTGCTTTCAGAGCGACTGTGGAGTCCAAAGGCATATGTGGATAGCATGAAGGATGCCCCCCATTATAGAATGCACATGTTCCGTTGCCTGCTTATCCAACGAGGCATTGCCTCCGCCCCTGTTGACAACCCATTTGCGCGATCAGAACCCGTTCTTCCGATTAGCTGCTACAAGCAGTAGGTATTAACAATAACTTTTGCATGGCAGCTTCCACGAGTTCAATAGTGTGAATATGCTTGTGACTGGTGGTATGTTCTAAGTAAGCCAATTGCAGGTTTGGTGTAGACGCATTGCACGTAACCTACTATCGTTGCTGGGCAAACTATTGACGAAGATATGCCTGCTGCCCACGCTCCCGCTTTTTTGTCTCACTTGTTCAGAGTATTTCTTTTGTCGGTGGTTGGCATCTTCTGGCGCAAGCCCACCACACTCGCGTTCGTTCGCGAGCAACTTCGCCAGGTCGATGTTTCTTCTGAAGGAGTACTCCCTTCCTGAGGTCCCATCCCACATCACTCGTCTCTGGATTTGTTTCCCTTAATGCCTAACAGGAAATTCTTCAAAACGAAATTTCGAGTCGGAAAACACTCAGAGACGGATTGTACTTGCTTGCTTCTGCTCCGTGAACACGTCTTGAAGCCGATTCATCTGAACCGTCAAGTTGTGCTCGGATTTCTCCTGCTGTCATACAGCAAGGACTGCCACACGTGTAAGCGGTCCAATCACGTTCTCCTGATGGCTACGCGGCCCCAAAACGTGACCTTGCTTTTTGCGGCACGAGCGTGGCGCTCCCCGAAGGGTAGCGCCCGACGTGGCTGCAATGGACACTGTGATTGGTTAGCCTTACATCCCCCGAATGGAAAACACCTTGCCTCAACGCGTGGAATCCAACGCAGCAACGAACAATCGAACTTTGACCACGACCAAGGCGAAAGCGTTGGCGACGATTTCGCGAAACACCGACCTTCTTCGCAGAGGCACACTCACCGTAACATGTCCTTCTCGCCCCACCTCCATTTCTCCAAGCCCACCCCTTCCCATTCAGTACAAAACTGTACTGATATCTGCCTATTAGGGACAGCTGCTTTGCTCTCCGCCTCGCCGCGCCCTCTACGTATCCCAACCATCTGCAAGCCTTCATCATTGAGCGCTAGCTACATTTTCTTTGACAATCAAATCACTTTTTGGTCTTATCACGCGGACTCTGCTGCACTCCGCTGGAAGTTCAGCGCAATCACGACCCTGACGCACGACGAAACGACGAACAAGGAGACACTGCACATTCAGCATGGCGTCGCAAAAGTTCGCGCTTCTACTACTATTCGGCAGTCTTGCCCTTCTTGGTGAGTCTGGTGGCCTGTGCCACTTATGGAAAAATGGCAATGCGTCAAAACTACTCAGAAGGCTGGAACACTTTCTATTTTAAAAGCGGCTCTTTACAGTAATGCGGCCCAATGAAAGTTGTCGCAGTGGTATCATGACATACCAGTCCTATCGCAGTAGCTCTTTCACTGCGACTACCAGCCCGGTGGGAGCTTCGAAGCCCATGGGTGGCACATCGCATGCTTCGTACTCACCTCAATTTCTCCTCCCGTTCCGCTATATCCGCTTGCGTTTCCCCTCTGAGCAGCGCCGACACCGAAAGGGTGGCGAATGGTTTGCGTGGGGTTCGGTTACGGTAACCCCGCCGACCCGTGGGGCCCTACCGTGAATAAGTACAAAGCTGGAGCCGTACACCCATTCGATGTAGTCAGTAAGTAAAACAATACGATTCTAATAAAAAAATGCATAAAAGCAATCTTTAATACGCAAATGCCCTGTTACATATTCTCTTCCGCACTCGCCACCTTCCGGTACCAATCCATTTCCATCCCCCATATTGCTAATCCGTTTCCGTTACAGTGTTCCGGTGGATGTCGGGCAAGGTGCACAGCGTGTATATGATGGAGGACCCAATCAAATACGCCACGTGTAACGTCAAGGGCACCAAAGAGCTCTTCCGGCCGTCGGGCGCGGGCCACGTGCTGTGGATCCCGCAGCCCAGCGACCTGGGGAAGACGTTCTACTTCGTGAGCAAGGGCAAGGATTGCCTCAACGGCATGAAGGCCGTCCTCAAGATCACGTGAAGTGTCGGATTTGTTGGGGTCGCTGGTTCGGTAGGGTGGGCCGGGGGGGTGGGCCCCGCAGCCCAGCGACCTGGGAAAGACGTTTTACTTCGTCAGCAAGGGCAAGGACTGGCATGAAGGCCGTTCTTAAGATCATGCAGGGCTCGGGTCGGGCTCGCTGGGGTCGGTAGAAGAAGGATTTGATCAATCTTCTACTGAAGCAACGTGGGAAATAGGGTATACAGTTCGTGTGCGAGGAAAGGGTTGTCACAAATCGGCGCCTATCTCAGATCTTAGCCGCGGCAGCAGCACAGCAAAAACTGCACTGATGTTATCAGAATCATCCTCATACCATCAATAGTATTCATGAGTGTATAGTTTGCCTAGTATGTGTAAAAGTGTGTTCAATGAATTATTGTCAAGCCATGTTTCTTGCTCTTGCTCTATGATGCTTGCTCTATCGTGTGTCAATTACCACCTGCCCGTGCATCTCTCACTCGTGCAGCCAATAACAGAAGACGAGCGAGTAGCCCGCCACGAAACAGAGCCGGAACCAAGGCTGAAGGTGTAACCCTGTGACGACCGCTACGTAGCCTGGTCGTCAGCCCAAGAAGCGTCCGCGTGCCCAGTGAGGACCACTGGACTCTGCCCTCCAAGCACTAGCCCCATGCCCGACGTACTGCACAAGTAGCGCAACACCCTCTTCGCTGCAGCCATGTGCTCTGGTCTGTGTCTCCCAGGAGCAACATAGCGTGCAAGAATGCTAAGAGGGTATGCAAGGTCAGGTCGTGTGCAGGTCATCAGGTACATGAGGCAGCCAACAAGCTCTGGGTACGGGCCACTCGACTCTACGGAATCATCCGAAGGCACAGCTGAGAGCGAGTGGCGAGTAGGCAGAGGAGTGGCCTGAGGCGAGGAGTACGTGAAGCCGAAGCGCTGAAGGACCTGCTGCACCATGTGTGACTGAGTCAGGGTAATGGTGCGGCGTGCTCTGTCCCGAGTGATCTGCAAGCCAAGGTAGCTGCGCAGTTCACCCAGGTCTGTGCACGTGTGTCTCTTCTGCAGCTCGGACTTCACGTGGGCGAGTCCAGCAGTGTCAGCTGCGGCAAAGACCAAGTCGTCGACGTACACGAGGATGTAGAACGGCGGCAAAGAAGTGTCGGTGCGTAGAAACAGCGACGGGTCAGCAGTAGAGGGAGCAAACCCAATAGCCGCAAGCGTAGTCCTCAGTGTGTCGTGCCACTCGCGCGGTGCCTGGCGGAGACCGTAGACTGGCCGTCGGAGGCTCCACTGGGTGCCAGGAGGGAAAGTCCCAGTGAAGCCAGGTGGACGGCGCAGCCAGATCTCCTCGTGCAGGCTACCCTGCAGGAAAGCAGTGCTGAAGTCAAGGGAGTGAAGCTCGTAGTCACGCTGAGCGGCTACGTGTAGCAGCACCCGAAGAGTGGTCATCTTCGGGGTGGGAGAGAAGGTCTGAAAGTAGTCAACTCCCTGCCGCTGACTGGAGCCACGAGCCACGTACCGCGCCTTGAAGACAGGCAGAGAGCCCGGCGGCCGCTTCATCCTGAAGATCCACATGTCAATGACGATGTTCGCCCCAGGTGGGGGAACCGCGTCAACGTAGGTGCCTGTGGACTTCCAGGAAGCCATCTCTGCATCCATAGCTGCCTGCCACTGAGAGGAGTAGGGACCCTCTACGGCCTCCGCGTAAGAGCGCGGAGTCGGGATGTCAAGTGCATCCGGGTCTCCCTCAGGGGTAAGCAGTACGGACACGAGATGAGGTGAAGCAGCAGCCAGACACTGGAACTCCTCCTGCCTGTCCTCAAGGACGTCCGTGCCAAGAGCACACTCACCCCCGACGGACGGAGGACAGACAGACGCAGACTCAGCAACAAGACTAGCAGCGTAGTCTAGACGACAGCGAGCAGCAAAGTCGACGAGCTCAGCAACAAGAGCAGACGCAGCAGTGGACTCAAAAGAGGGGTCAGTGACGACAGTAGCAAGGAGACGCGTGACAGTAGGACTGGTAGCACGAAGAGATTCCGACTCCGGGTCGGCAAGGGCAGGAAGAGAGGACTCAGGAGGAGAAGGCAAAGGGGCACGCAGAGGGGCAGTGGACGGACGCAGAGACATCCGGTGCGTGCCAGGGACAGGAGGAGGACGCTGACGCGAACCGCGACCACTAGCGCGAGCAGCACGAACCGGCGACGCAGGACGAGACGCAGGCTCACGACGCTCAGCAAGACCTCCAGTAGGACCAGTGTAGGGAGAAGGAGCAGGCAGTGGGGAGGCCGGCGGTAACTGTGACTGTGACTGGACAGGCGGTGGACACTCTAAGGGAGGAGGAAGACCAAGAACCTGCTGAAGGAGCGGAACAAAGTACGGCCGAGGCCGCGCGGCGACTCCAGACACAGCAGGGACAGCACCAGCACCCCCAGTGGCAGCACCAGCGCCAACAGCACCTCCAGCTCCAGTACCTCCAGCAGCACCAGCAGCACCCGCAGCAGGACCGCCGCTAGGACTGACAGCAGTAGCCTCAGCGCCAACACCCTCAGCAGCTCCGACTCCAGTCGCACTCGCAGGCCCAGCAGCTCCAGCACTCCCAGGGCTAGCACCCCTGAGACCGGCGGCACCAGCACCCTCAGCAGCCGAAGAAGCACCAGCTCCAGCAGTACGCCTCCAGCGCCGGGCAAACCACTCGCGCAGCTCCTGTGGAGAGAGTGGCTCCCGCCGAGACGAAGCACCCGGAGAACCACCAGGCCCAGCACCGCCAGACGCCACACGAGCAGGTCCAGCGGCCGCGGGCTCCGCACCCCCAGGCTCAGCAGCTCCAGACTCAGTACCCCCAGGCTCAGCAGCTCCAGACGCAGCACCCCCAGGCGAAGGACCCCCAGGCTCAGCACCCTCAGTCGTAGCACCCCCAGGCTCAGTACCCCCAGGCTCAGCACCCACTCGCGCAGCACCCCCAGAGTCAGCACCCCCAGGCTCAGCACCCGCAGCAGTACCAGAGTCACCAGCAACCTCGACCGGCTCGACTGCGTCTACCTGGGACACACCTGAAGGGGCAAGACCCTGAGGGGGGAGGGGGTCTACCGGGGGGGATCTGGCACAAGGAAGAGCGGCGGCGGGGGAAGGGAAGGAGTGCGGTAGGGGAAGAGACGGTAGTAGGGGACCGACTCGTCAAACGTGACGTCCTGGGAGGACAGAATACGACGAGAGGAGGGGTGGTAGAACTACCACCCTGGTGCGTCAGGGGGGAAGCCAAGGAAGACACAAGGAGCAGCACGAGGGGACAGTTTGTCCGCAGACAAGTCGCGGACAAACGCCCGAGATCCCCAGACACGAAACGCAGACGCATCGCCTACCTTCCCCGTCCACAGCAGAGCTGGGGAGGTCTCCGGCATGGAGACCCTGGGGTGAAGGTTGATCTGATGCGCCGCGTACCGAACCGCAAACGGCCACAGAAAATGGGGGGCAGCCGCATGCATCATGGACGTACGAGCGACGTCCATGACCATGCCAATGCGGTGCTTAGCAATCCCATTTTGCTGTGGAGAGTCCGGAAGTGTAAAGGTCTGGCGGATGCCTCGCGCACGGCCGTAGGCTCGCAGAAGGCCAGAGGAGAACTCTGCGCCTCGGTCAGAGTGCAGACGCAGAACAGGAAAGTCCGAGCCGAAGCTCCTCCTGAGCTGGAGACGAGCTGCGCGGATCCAGTTGATCAACACCTCAGTGACATCACCCTTGCTGCGCAAGGGGAAGACTGAGGTGTAACGCGAGTAGTCGTCAACCACCAGCAGGAAGTAGCGCTCGTGACCCTGTCCACGGACGCGGGCCGGGCCCCACACGTCCATGTGAAGCGTTTGCAGCGGGGCCTCTGTCGGGGGAAACTGAGAGGAGTGAGGGGCAGCCCGGAGCCGCCCCTCGACACAGGGAACACAGGAAGGACCCGGCCCTGGAGGAAGGGGAGGGAGGGACCGGGGGAGACCAGAGACAAGGACACGAGAAGCCATGCCTCGGAGACGAGGCAGGGAGGGGTGACCAAGACGGTGGTGCCACATGAGAGTCTCGTGAGACAGGAGGCGACACGAGCAGGGGGCAGACTCAGGACCAGACCTGGACGCTGCAGCAAACACCTGACCCGACGCAGCTACCTGGCTAGACGCAGGGACAGGAGGAGACCCAGTGGTCAGGGTGTAGAGGCTCGACCCCGGCCGACGCGTAAACGTGGCCAGGTGCCGGCCTGTGCGAGCGTCCGAGCAGTGGGTCACCCGCTGACTCGCAGGAGTAAACTGGTGAACCCCCGTATCCTTCAGGTCAGCACCACTCACCAAGTTCGTAGAGAACGAGGGGAGGTAAAGACCAGACAAGGTGCCAGAGGGGGCAGCCGGACACGGGAGGACAGTGGAGAAGTGAGAGAGGACAGGACCCCCAGAGGGGTCTGCCAGGGAGACTGCAACCGGCCGACCAAGCGGCGTGAGTGTGGTGCGGTCTCGAAAGAAGGAGCGAGAAGCCCCTGAGTCAAGTGTGAAGGTGAGGGAGGCCGAAGCCGACGTGGTACCTGAGAACGCAGACTCACCAGCACCTGAGGGCGCAGATGCGCTGGCACCTAGAGCAGCAGCCTCACCAGCACCTAGAGCAGTAGTACCAATGCCCGGGTCGGGCGGGAAACACGGGTAACAGTCACCCTCATCACTAATAGTCACAGCATACATGGCAGCAAGGATAGCATCAAAGTCAAGATCATAGATAGCTACGCCTGCCCTAGAAAGCTCTCCCCAGCGGGGGATCTCACTGGCCTCCGGGAACTGCTGACGCCAAGCATCCGTCAGGCGGCCAAAGCAGCGCTGGGTGGGGTGGGCACCCCCACACTGCTCACCCGCGCGGTCGCCGGAGCGAAGGACGTAGGTGCACGGACCAAAACCCCCACCACGCTGACGCTGCGCGTACCACTCACGGAGCTGCTGAGGGGGGGGAATGTCCCGAGAACGCTGCTGCTGCTGGCGCTGACCACCACCAGGGCTGCT